TGCCGTGGTCCCACTTGACTGCCATTGCTAATATTACTCTTATTATTATTATTATTACTATTATTATTACTAATCATTCCCCATTGTTGTGGCTATTGGCGTCATTGTTGTTATCATCATCATCATCATTAGTCATTTCTACTATAGTTGTTGCTATTGCTATTTTGTCACCTCTGTCTCTGTCCATCCCCTCTACCCCTCTACCCCCCTCTCCCTCTCTCACTCTAACTCTAACCCTAACTTTAGTAGTTACTTTGCAGATTCAGATTATCAAAACAAAATCCAAACAACAAATAGATTATGAAGTAATATTATGGATTAAGATGAAACTTTATTGATCCTTGTGTAAAAGGTTAACTATAGTCAACCTTAACTGTGTGCTGACTGCAGGTTTTGTTTGCAGCAAAGGAAAAAGCAAATGACCCGAGCCCTGCCCAGCTGACCCAGGATCAGATACCGGTCATGTCCCAGCAGAGAGAATGATGTTCTCCTTCAGAAGACTGGACTGACTCACAATGGAAGCAAACAGAATTATATCACCACACAGTGTTTTAGGATAAATGAGATTTGATGAGTCAGAAGCAAATTAAATGTCTTGGGTTTTTTTCTGCAGAGACTAATCTCATTTAGCAAAACATCTGACAAGAAAACAAACTGTTCCTTGTTCAATACATCTGCTTTCAGATGTAAATGGTGGCGAGGGGCCACAGAGCATTTTCACTTTGATTCATAAGAGACACAATGTAACTGTTTTAGCACAGCTCTGTAAATCCAAAATCTAAAAATTAGACTCCAAAGCTACATGTTATTCATTTGCTTTTTATTGTGGCTTATCCTTTTTCTTTATTCCACTAAAAGCTGCATTTAATGTTCCTTATTCTTTCACTACAGATTCCCTCTGAGAATAAAATGAAGGTGCGGACCTATGCATGCATGTACTGCATGTGTTCATTTCTAGGAATCCTGTTTATCTGTCTCCAGCGTGGTCAGGGTCAAAGCAACATTTGAATTCCTTGTTTTCAATTATCCTAATTTCTTCTACCATCCATTGATCCCAGTTGACATTGGGCAGGGGGCAGGGTATGCCCTGGACAGGTAGCCAGTGCATCACAGAGACAAACAATAAATAACATTGAAGAGAAGAGATGTGCTTTTTATTTCTAACTTAAATAAAAAATTAACACTTTTAGTCATTTGCAGTTTTAAATTCTCCCAAACATCAAGTTCTGAGTTCTTTACTTTAAGGTTCTTACACTGAAGTACAAGAACATAAAAACTCAAAACTGTACTTCAGTTCTTCAACGCTTATGAGACTCTCTTCTTATCCTCCACCACATTTCAGATGGAAATATTGAACTATTTACTCCACTACATTTATCTGATGGCTGGAGTTGCTTTGCACATTTAGATTATATTTAAATGATAGATTCACAAATGATACAATGAATGCATCAATATTCACTGCAATTACTCTTCCTCCTGACCCTACTGGTCACAAGGAGATAAAAAATACAATATTTAATAGTGACATTCACAGCAGTCGTCTTTCAGCTCAATGCAGGACATTTACTTGTAATGGGGTACTATTACTTGAGAAAAAGATCTGGAAACTTCATCCGCCAGTGGAAATACATGTCAAACTATTTGAACATATCCTTTACACGATATGATCTTCTATCTCAAAAATGTCAACTTTTCAGGAACTTGACACATGAATAATTGGCATTTTTGAAGTGTAAAAAGATTGAGAGCATTCATGAGACAAAGGTACAGACCACCACATTGTGGCACAGACAAGGTTTTCAAAGAATAATATGATGTGAACTATACTACTTTAAGACACCAGCTGCGCTTGAGTACATTTTCCTGCTTAATTCTGCTACCACCTAGTGTCCAAACCCAGAGCAGCAGCAAGGATACAGAAGCAAGTGATTCAAATCTTTCTTTTTAAATCTAATATTAGATTGAAAAGCATTAATATACAGAAACAGATTTCCAGTGGTGGAATGTAACGAAGTACAATCAGTGTAGTTTTTTATTTGACAAGTACAACTTAACGCCTTTAAACTTACTGTGTGTACCATTTACATCAGACACAGAGCAGGTGGTCTTGCAAATTATGCAGCAAAAATGATTTTATCCATCACAACGCTGGGATGATGAAGCTCAAACATAAAAGGCCCAATAAATAAGATCACAGCTGTGATATCCAAATTTGTTATTATTGATTTCGTTGTGATTCAGAGTCTCTTTTGAATTCGGTAACATGACTTGCTTGGTACATGCAGTCTTCATTCATCTGATGTGACTCTAAGACGTCCTTGTTAAGATGACATAACAGCTGTTATATGTTGCAGACAGAAAGTCAGTCACAACTGCCAGCTGGGCCTAAACACAGTTCAACAGTATTAAAATAAGAAGAATATTTTAACTCATGGATCAATGTAAAAGCAGGATTTAACTGTTGTAGTTGGTTGAGTCAGAGCTCATTTTGAACTATTTTGTGAAGGACTGCAACTAATAACAATTTCAGTTAATCATCTGATTAATGTTCTCAATTGAGTTTTTTTTTTTTTGGGGGGGGGGGTTGTAGAAATCCTGAAAATAGTGAGAAATGGCGCCACAATTACCCAAAGCCCAACGTGACACCTTTACAATGATTGTTTCATCCAACCAACAGTTCAAATCTTAAAAGTATTAAAAGAAAAAGCAGCAAATCTTTACATTTGTGAAGCTGGAACCATGAAATATTTTGCATTAAAAATGACATGAACAATTCTCAAAATAATTATTTTTTAACAAAACATCCTATTTATGCAATCTTTGTATGTTTTCTGCTCAAAATAATAAGTTTTCTAAAGTAACCTGTAGCTTAAGCTGTGAGATAAATGAAGTAAATACATAAGTAAACAAGTACAATCTTGGAATCTCTGGAAGTGGAGTAGAAGTAGGAAGTGGCATGAACAGAAAAGACTCAAGTAAAGTAGAAGTCGATTATCTCAAATTTGTACTTCTGAACAATACTTGAGTAAATGTATTTATTTCCACCGCCGCTAATGAGTATTTTCAGAATTACTTTTATAGTTTTAATTTCTTCATTTAATTTTGAATGCAAAACTTTTACTTTTAAGCAAACAATCAAAATTTCCTCAACTTGCAACTATACGCTAAAGATCACAATTTATTTACCACCAGTCTTGGATATATGTGCTCTAAATGTGAAGCAACTCTAAAATAAACATAATTGTTCCTTAGTTAAAGGAATAGTCCAACATTTAGGGGAAGCATTATGGTATACTACCAAAACTGCAGGGGTACAGAAAGGTATAAAGCATCTTTTGGAAAATGTCTCAAAACATAGAAAAAAAATTTAAAACTCAAACTAGTATTTTGAGTACCCAGTTCATACAAGAAAAATGTATTGTAAATCGTGGGTAGTATTAAAGTGTGACCGGATTTTCTTGCACAACTTCACTTACTTCAAAGGTGCATGAAGAAAAGAAACAATCTAAAAGGTCTAAACTCCACAAGACAATGACTCAGTTATGAAAGATGAAATGTGTGCATGTGTGGCTGGTGAGATCTATACTGTATATCAGCTTGAGTCTCGTTGTTGGTGGCAGACCCCCTCCCCCTGTAGATGACAACAGCTCATTCGAAGGCAACAAAAGCACAACGATTCCTATTTTCAGGTGATTATACACTAGTGAAAGCATACCTATGAATAGTACACTCCATTTCTGGCAACAGATCCTCCTAAATGTCACTAGACCTTTAAATCTCAGTGAAATTACATGCAAAATAAAGTTTATACGACCATGGTTAAGTTGAGTGCACAGAGCTCCTCGGTTGTTTTGGGGATTCTTGTTCACCAGGAAACGTTGGCAGGATATGTTGCAAGATGTTGACAGCTCTGTGCCTCTACCCACAGAGCCTGGAGAGTGATAAATGCCCTCCCGCTGTTGTTACGTGTTTACTTTCTCTGACAGCGAGAAAACTCACAGGGAAACATGTCAGCAGACAGACAGCAGCAACAGCAGACTTTCTTGGCAAAACTAAAATGACTTTTTGTCATCTTCACTATTTTTTAATACTTCCTTTATATCTTACAGAAAATTCTTAGTCGACAAATAGATCGCAGCTTTACAGATGCAAGTTTAAGACAAAACTTTACTCCCAGAGAGAACATTTGTTTGTTCATTAAAAACCTACAATATAGATATCAATTCACAGTTAAATGCAATAGTAGGCTATAGATAATTTCACAGACAAGATCCTCTATCTTCTGAAATCACTGAAAGAAAAATTTCACTGAGAAACGAGCCAACCCGATGTTGAGCTCCACCCAATGATTTTAAGAACTGAAACAAGAAGTGAAATTATTCAAATGCCTAATTTGTTTAGGAAATCTGGTGTCTTTAAATTGCTTGCTTGTCCTCTTTTCCTTATTACTCTCTTTTCTGTAAAAATTTATTTCTTTAGTTTATGAGTTGTAATTTTCCTTACATTTTTGTTTGGGCTCTCCAGAAAAACCTGGTAAAGAACACATTGGAAGAGTGGTTGGAGAGAGTTAAAATCATTTTCTCTAGTGCAATCTGGAAAAGGACAGGAAAGAAGAAAAATATGTTGTTGTTGTTGTTGTTGTTGTTGTTGTTGTTCATCAGCGTAGCAATTACTACATGACAAACATGGACATTTAGTTAGACATACTTTCCACGTGGCGGGAAGATTCAGTTTGTTTATGAATCAAGTAAAATCACAATGACACCATGTGGGGTTTTTTTTTCTGAAAGTAATTATAACAATTATTAGCAGAAGTGACCTTTTTTGGCCTTCGAGTGGAAAATTAAAGCGAAATAAAAAAAAATGGCCTTTGCACAAGATCCTCAGTAGTTTCTGATTGGCACACATTTCCACTGTTAAGTCAAAAAATGACAAGTCACCTGATTGCATCAACATAACATGAAACTTCTTTTGAAATATACCCCCAACGCTTCCGCTGTGTTCAGAAGACAGGAAGCAGATTCAATCTGTTGGGTAAAGAGCATGCGGCTTATTATCACACTTCAGCTACAAGTGGAAGACAGTTTTCTGACCATTTTATATGTGTGAATATATCAGGAAGTCATCATATTCAACGTCTCAACCATGAACAAACGAAAGCTGAGTAAGTTCTATTTTACTTTATGATGTTGTTGTGCAATATTTGGGCTTTTTTTGGGAGGGGGGAGGGTTCCCCACATATGTACCCCCATAGCACTCTTACACACTTAAGTAAAAGTAGAGAGATAGTGGCAGCAAAATGTACTTAAAGTATCAAAAGTAAAAGTACTTGTCGTGCAGTAAAATGTTCCCTGATGTTACTGATATATTATTATATCTGACATAAATACATTGTGATGCATCAATCTCAGAGCAGTATTTTACTGCTGTAGCTGCTTTAGACGGAGCTAGTTTGAACTACTTTATATACAGTTAGCTAGTTTCATTTCCCAAACCTATAGTGGTCATGAGATGGATGTATACTTTACTTTACTTGAGTATTTCCACGTTATGCTACTTTAAACCTCCACTACATCGCAGAGACAAATATTGTACTTTTTACTCAACTACATTATAGGTATAGTTACTTAAAAACATACGGTGTCAGACACAATGCATAGTGAGGGATTAATGAAATAATGATCTAGTCATGGCTCATTGTCACATTTCAGATGTCTATGAGTTGTTAGCATTTCCACCAACACATTTCCCCTTTAAACTTCTCAAACGGTTTCATGTTTGAGGTCCAAAGAGGTTCAATATTTACAAAAAAAAAAAAATTCTGAAATATAAATACAAACGTGTGCATCACAAGTCAGTTTTAAATGAATCATCTTACAACCCCTCAGATGTATCTGGTGACCGTTTGGAGGGGCCCAACCGGATGGGATCCACTGGACTAAATAGTTAAAGTAGTTAAAACTAGCTTCACTTGGAGCAGCTACAACAGTAAAATACAGTTTACTACTACTTTATAATTTATGATATTAGTCAAAGGGACTGCAAAACAAGTACCTTTACTTTTTATACTTTAAGTTAATTTAGCTGATAATACCACTATACTTGAACGTAAATGGGATTTTGAACGCAGAACTACAGTACTTCATTATAACGCTGTTTGGTGACACACTTTGACTTCATAAAAAACGTGCAGCTTCTGCAATTGCATTTGCATATTGCACTTGGCTGTAGTGCAATATGCACTAAATATTATCGACAGTGTCGATAATATTTTGATTAATTCCCTAATAACTGTCAGAGAAATTAGTAAACAAAAATAAAAAATGAAATACATAGTGAAGAACTGTAAAGTTACTAGTATACTATAGAGACAGACATTGTATTATATGATGAGTCAGAGAAAAGAGGCTGATGCAAGTTTATTTGTGTAATCCTATAAAAGAATGTGATCTATTGACACTTGTTTCACTGTGAGTGTGTGTATGTTTGTGTGTGTGTGTTGGCTCTTTGTTCACTGTTCCACTCACAAACAGTTTTTGGTCCATTGTAAATGAAGCATAGATGCGTCTTTGTGCGGTTTGAAAGGACAGCATCCCGGCTGAGTGCAGAGTTAAGCACAGAGTTGAGCTCAGAAAAGACAGCGAATGTCTGCTGAAAGAACAACAGCTCACTGTGCTCTCTTCTTCTGCTTCCATTCGATTCAATAGTTGTTCACTATTTAAAGCTGAATTTCACCCATGATGAAGGCCGTTCATTCAGTCCAGTTGGGCCTGAAAAGAAGAACTAAAACTTCGATTCTGTTCTATGCCGTTCTTCTAACCAAGTGCAGCTAGTCAGTTAAGTTGTGTGATCAATACTAAAAATGTGAAATGCTTTAATTTTAGGGCCACATTGAGCTACTTCCTTGTGGCTTTTTATACTTTCCTTAAGAAGTGACAGAAATATCTCTGAATCAGAACTGCTGATGTGACTCTCTGGGTGGAGGTCAGTTCAAACTTGTTCCACCCAAAAAAAGTGTAGTCTTGACACTATGGGTCCCTCTTTGGATGTGTGTATCAATGAAAAAAAACAGTTCAGCATTTAGGGAAATCCTGCTGTATGTCGTCCTCTCAAAGGATATCAGTTTCATTCCCCTGAGTGCAGTACAGAGAGACGTAAATCCAGAACAAGGGGAAACTGCTAGCCTAGTCATGGCGTCCTAAGCAGAGAATGAAGTCACACTCCCTCTGTGTGTGAGCCTCTCTGTTCTTTGTTTTAGTCTGGTGCTCCAGTGCTACATATCATGGTTCTGAATGTCATATATAGTCCCTTTAATACCAATCAGCTGGGTTCTGAATTTGTTCAAATCCAAAGTCCACTTGAGCTGGTGTATAGAAGTTTGAGTGCCCTGAGTATCTGCAACACTGTCTCATAACTGTGTTTAAATGTCACTGTGGTGGAGCAGTTTATACTCCGACAGGGGAGGTTCAATAAAACTGAGACACAGCTAATAAACTACGATAGCGTCCTCTGTTTCTGGACTTTCCTCCTCGTAGGTCACAGTTCACCCAAGATGAATTCAACATTTGTCTGCTCATTTCCTCAGAATAAAATTCAGTGTAAGTCATCAGGACTCCTTATCTGCTGGCATCAACATGAAAATAAAAAATGCAGTTTCTTTGCATCTGTACCTCCATCATTTCCCTGCTTTCTTTTTCTCAAAATCATTAGTCTATATTTAGCTGAGGAAAATAAATATCCCTCAGTGTTTTCAGAGTTGAATAGGTCCCTGGGGCAGAAACATAATCAAACACTGCTGAGAGCTCGAGGGGTTGCAGTTTGGAACAGAAACGATGAGAGTTTCAGCAGAGTACGGTACAACAACATTCCTCAAATGACTCAAAGGCAAAGAAAACATTTTTGTTTTTCAAAGGACAAAGTGAAAATGAAATGTTAAATGCAGCTGCTGGTGGCCCCACATTATTCTTTAATTGTCTTTAAAATGTACACAGTCTCACACTGACTGACACCGTGACCCTGAGCAGGAAAATGAGCCGGTGGATTACATAATGGCTACCGTGCCAGATTATAGGGATTCAAATGTTTTATAATGTTTTGGCATTGCCTTCTTTAAAACAGCTCTGATAATAAGGTTAGTGGCCACATTTTGTATTTCCCCATTTCACTCAATGAAACAGGTCATCTTTTGAAAAAACAGTAAGCCATTTCCTGCACTTCATCATTCAGTATCTCAGATCAGACTGTCTCAACATTAAGGTCAGGACACGTAGGGCAGCTGTAAACAGACGAATACAGGAAATTAGACATTTATCATTTACAATTACAGTTGTTTGTTGATGTAGCGTGATTTCTATCATTTAGCATGATAGCATATAGCATGTGAAAGTACAGTGGCTGGGAAATTCAGGTATTGCAGTAGCACAAGGACAGAAATAAGGACAGATAAACAGAGAAAGTAAAGTAGTTACTTACCTGAAATAGGGCGTGATTAGTAGCATCAAAGTCAATTCTGACCTTCACACTGGCTCTCTGTGACAACATTACCATCTTTCGCTGGTGCCAAGGAACTTCTGGTCCACCGTGCTGGGCTTTAGATAACTCAAAATAAGTCAATGTAGACATTTGCCTTCAAAGAGGACATGAACAGCAGTCTCCTGGGTAGGAGGCCTACGTTTGTCTGACCCATCCATCTGCTTAGGTGAGGCAAAACTGGACTCGGACATAGTGTCCTCCAGTGGGCAGTACGCAAACTATATCATGGCTTTTAGGGGGAGCTCACTTTTTTCTAGGGAATAATGACTATTTGGCACATAAGTGGCTCTAAGAAAGTTTGTTTATTATAAGTGAGTGAAGTTTAGGATACTACGCCACCAAACTTCAATGGTGATGGCAAGAATCTTAACCCTAACCCTAACCCGTCAGAAATTAGTGATGAATCACCCTCATACATCAATAATAGCCTAATTTTACACATGATCCATGATGATAATAGAAATGCATGGCAAAAATGGCATATTGGTAGTATTTTAGAGACCCACCAAAAATGTCACGGATCATGTTTTCAGAGGAGCTCATGTCTTATGAAGGAGAGCTCCCCCTGTGGTTCGCACCCTGCTAGTGAGTTGGCAGGTCTATTACAGGCTTTGATGTGAGACTGGGCACCCACGGCAGTAAACCAGTAGCTCATCGTGTGGGTAAGCGAACTTGGTAAAAGAAAAACTTCCTGAAAAATCAAATATCCTACACCAGTTACACCAGAACTAAAAAGCTGTGTAGTGCAAGCAGATTTAGTGCTCAAGATTCCCAAGAATGCAAAGTATACAAATCAAAACAAGAAACAGGGAGCTGCTCTAACAGGCTGCCTACCACTTGGCACCATGCTCTGGAGAAGTGGAAACTTCTCTGATGGTGGCGCTGGATATGATAGATCACAAAAGTATTCAGTCTCTCCCACAAATCCAGTGAACCAACTGCCCAGATATAGCAGATATAGCAGGAAGCTAGATGCCAACAGACTGTGTGTGAATGTGTTTGTGTGACTATTCGGCCTCTGACTGATCTCAAAACTTACCAAGTTCTTCCTGTTACTTCCCTCCAGAACGTTTTTTTCCTCTTTTCTCTAACCAAATTTAAGGAATATCCAACACAAAGTTTAGGATCTGTATGTCTGACTGCCAGGCCGCAATTATATTTTTTGAAATCATAAAGTTATTATGTCTCCATTTACAGTCTGAGACTACAAAAGGGTCCCCTCTAATGATATTGACAAAGAAATGTTTCTGGCAACCCCAATTAACAACCTCCTACTCTCCAGGTTTCAAATGGTTTGGGAGCCTCACCAACCTCTCCAGCCGCCGGCCAACAGAGAAGGCCAACATCAAGGCAGTCCCAGGGCATGATGGGATCCTCGGCAGTGCCAAATCAGCAGTGGGGGGCCAGTCGGTGGATGACATGGAGTCTTGTCTCCACAGCCCCAGCTACGCCCACTCCAGCGAAATGTACACACACGTGGGCACTGTGCCTCGCAGCCAGAAGCAGAAGAAGAGCTGTAAGGGGATGAAGGAGAAAGAGAAGAAGAAGAAGAAAGAGGGGGAGGAGGAGGGGGAGGAGGAGGCGGTGAGTGGAGGGCAGATCCAGTGGAAGGCGGGGGAACATGTCCGAGACTCCCCTCTGCTCAGTGCCCTGTCCAACCTCAGTTTGACCAGTCTGGACCGGCCTCTGCCTGTTTCTCCACTGGCCCGGCCGCTACCCGCCACCCCAACACCCAGCAGGGCTTCACCATTGACCTCAGCACCTGAAAGCTTTGTCAGCGATCCTTCAGTTGACCCCATTAAGAGCCCAGAGGCTTTTTCAAGGAGCAAAGATGCTTTAAAAGCTGATAGACCTATAAGAGAGCCTTCAAACATGGCAACTAATGGCCCCAAAATGGCTTCATTGCAGGATGTGTATGTGCCGATGGACCCAATAGGTGAAGCTGCTCACAGCCACGTGGATGAACAAAAAGACAGACAGCGAGGTGTCATAAGTAAACAGGAAACCAAAAAGACTGTAAACGGCTTGCAGGAAGTGCAGAGCGCTGACAGGTGAGAAAGTTGATTTACTACACTTTCAGATAATGCAGCGACGGCCCCAAATAGCCTGGTTTGGTTTTTCATAGCCCACAGCTATTTCAGTTGAGTTTGAAACGTTGCTCGTTTGACATTTCTCTGTCTGATTCTTGCCTTTAGTTTGCTTTTTGATCCACCACCTGTGAAAGTGTTTTGGATGCCCTGTTGTCTTCGATTATTCAGCCTGCACTACAAACAGTTCAAAGGACATAAGAATGAACGGCTAAAAGCATCACTGCAAAACAATCTCCTATCACTTGTCTAGTTTTATGTCTTATTTTCCTAAGAATGTGCCATTGCAGTGAGGTTATTTCAAGCTGTTTCCACTTTAAATCAACTTTCATACAAGTCAGTGTCTTAATACAAGATAGAATGGGGCAGATTGCTGCAGTAGGACACTTTCAGATGTTTGAATTAATTTTCACACACACACACACACACACACACACACACACACACACACACAACATTTTAGTTATGTTAATGCACCACATGAACACATTACTGCATCAGTGATTATAATCCAGTGACCACATTTATTTTTGGTGCAAGCATATTTAGATTCTAATACTTGTGTATTTGAGTGGACTACTTCTTCCACAACTGCCATGCACCAATAAAGATAAAATCAGGAATAAAAAAAAAACAATTAAAAATAACTTAACCATAATGCATACTCTTTTAATAGGCAATTAGTCACAGATTTTATTAAATAATATATCGTTAAAATTACATACAATTTTAGTAAAATCTTATAGTTTCATAAAAGTCGTAATGTTATGAGCATAAGTCGTGTCATCTTACGAATAAGGTCGCAGTACAAGAACAAATGTTGTAATGTTTCCACGGTGAAGTCGAAACATTAAAAGAAAAAGTACTGATAGTATAAGAAGGTCGTAGCGGCGGACATGCGCAGTGGCTCCCTGCCTGCGCGCTGTGGCTCAGTCAGTCAGCCGCTTCCACTCAGCGGCAGTTCGTGTCGGACTGTGCGGGAGAAGATGTGTGAGGTTGGGGACGTGAAGCGTCGGTCAGTCCGCTCCGGGGAGGGAGAGAGAAGGTGAGAGGACCAGCTGCTTGTTAATGTAAAGTCAGTCCAGTGTTTGTGTAGAGCTTTATCTGAGCTGCATCCCTGAGACAGTCACTGTAACAATGTGCGCTGTGTCAGTGCCGTCTGTCATCCCTTAAACTCACAAGTTGGACATTGCGCTCTTCACGTGTCCCGCTGCATTAAGAGAACACAGACACATGGTTTGGGTTAGTTTGATGCCATAAAACATGAAAAGCACCAGAGTGGTAAAACATTTACAACAACTAGTCGACTTTGAAGTCAGTGGGTTACCAGGCTGTCAGTCTGTCAGTGTGTTGTATGGGGGAGTGCAGGCTGAACCTGAAACTGGACCGGACTGTATGTTACATAAGAGGAGGAATTTGCTCCTGCTCTGGTTTCAGTCAGAACAGTGATAAGGCTCTTTTGGCAGAGATGCAGCCGCCTGTTTCACTTCATCCTGTCTGTCCCACCTGCTTCAATCTGACCTGATTTACACCTGATCTTTGACCCCTGCCCTGCATCTGCAGGCAGTATAGAGGCAGTGAAGTTGGGGAAAAAAAAAGAAGTTCAGGCTGGGAAACAGATAATGCTGTCATGGCACCCTCTGCCATCAGTGTGGGCATGGTGTGTGAAAGTATTTTGAGTGGACGGTAGACCAGAAATATGCTATATTCATACAAGTCCAGTCCATTAGAAAGAAAATAATGCAGAGACTGCACAGCAATCTGCCTTTGGATAATCTGCACTGAATACTCTACTAGTTGTTTTTATTTTAACTAGTTTAGTTTTTAACTAGAAAATGAACTTTAGTTTTATTATTATTTACAGCCCATAGTTTATGGGTGTTTCTGTGTTTATCTATCTGTACAAGTACTATTACTCAAATCAATAAAATACTCAAATGTACAATTTAAACATCCAGTGTGTACCATTTAGTGGCATCTAGCGGTGACTTGAAAGGCCATATCTACAGCCAGTGTTTGGTTTGTCCGTTCTGGGCTACTGTAGAAACATGGCGGTTCAACATGGCGGACTCCACTGAGGGCGACCCGTGGCCTCTGTATATAAAAATAGTTCATTCAAGGTGACAAAAAAACAGTGATTCCTATATTCAGGTGATCATAAACTAATATTAACATAGCTATGAATATTATATTCTGTTTCTGCCAATAGACACACAACAAACACACTGGAGCTTTAATAGGCTATATTTAAGTATTTGGTTTAAAGGTACCTTAATCACCAAATCACATGATATTCATTTGAGCTAAGCAAGCTTGCTATAGTGGGAGCTTGGCTGTTTTTTCCTTCTCCATAAATAAGTGATTTAGCTGCTGCTTTATTTAATAATGTGGAATGCAAATTGAATAACAAAAATGAATCAAAATGTTTATTTATTTATTTACAGATATCACCTGGGGGGAAACAATAACTAAACCTAGCTTTTGTTTTAGTTAGGGTTATCTCAAAAGCTAGCTTTCCTTTGATAGTCCTCTTCCGTTTTGTAGTTACTGCAAATTTCAAAAGATGTTTTCACAGAAATTGCACATTTCTATGGCATGATACAGATACAGATACAGATTATAACACACTTTTGACCAAATATGTAGCTACTGCATTTTCCCTTTGCATGGCTTTTTGATATATGACACCAGATATGTTTTCTTATATCATCTTACAGTGTAAATGTCTTCTTCAGGCTGCATCCTAGTAACATAATACAGTTTTATGACCTTCCTGTATCAGACTGATGAAGCTGACTGAAAAGAAATGTGTTTGGTCATCATGTCTACATTATGAATGTATTAGATTTTTACAGAATCGCTTACCCCACCTTTAACTTATTCACAGTTGCAGAGTTGAGTTGGATGGATGATAGTCACTGACTGGCCAAATTCTGAGCTGCAGCTGGTGGTTTCCTGACCGGATTGTACTGTCATGATAAGGGAGACAGTTCTGCTTTTTCGTTGATAAATTAGTCATAGCAGAAGCGGTTGTTGAGGTTAACCCTGACCTTCAATTTAAAACAAGCTCACTGCTACTACTCTGTGTGGACGCTTGTAGGTAGTGTTGTAGTCACATTTGTTTTTGGTTATTATTGGAGCTTTGAACCCCAGCTAGTGTCTGTGTGTGTGGATGTTATGAGTGTGTCCCATGCAGTGGTGTAAGAGTTGCTGGCTGAAGGCACAGGAAGTGCTGTAAAATTTGATGCTGGTTTGGGGAGCACAGCCCCCAGGTGGAGGGAGTTTCCCCTCACTGGGCTCTAAGAACCGTTTCTGTGGACCTTTACAGCGCCTCAGAAACACGTTCTTTAACAGTGGAGAGGTTCACTGTGGCTGCAGTTTTCTGTTATACAACAAAACTCATTTCAGCTGTTTGAATATGTGATGATTTCATTCTTCGGTCACTATCCGAAGCTAATGACCATAGGTGAGGGGGAGGACCGTAGATCAACTGGTAAATCGAAAGGTTTGCTGACGCCGCACCAATCTGCCTGTCCACGCCACGCTCCATTTTACCGTCACTTGTGAACAAGACCATTTAAGACGTTGCCTCTCCGTTCACTCAAAGGACACACTGCTTCCTGCTGGTCAGTGGTGCAAATTCATGGGTCATAATTCACCAAAGTTGAACTCAACTCTAGTTCGAGATTCGTTATGTGGTTCTATGAAATGTCCTGATTTCTTATTGAAATTTTGCCATTTAAAATAGTTGTGTGAGCAGGCCTTTAGACTGTGTGAACACAGAAGCTGAAAATGTCCCAATTGTTTACTTTTAGTCGACTGACTGAAAGTAATATTTTAACATTGTCTGAGAACTAATACTCTGTGTTAGCCAGTGTGTTCCTTTTAATGATGGTCAGATGATTAAATATTTTATCATGAAGAAAGGATTTCATGATCTCAATAAATCAAATTTTCTTTTTTGCTATTTAAATAATATTTCCACAATCACAAGAAAATAAAACTTGTTTTGAGAAAACTAAACGTCAGAAATGTGGATTTCCTCCCTTCAAATCATTTGAAAATAGTGTTTCTGCTATCACCAGATGAGTGCTATACAGAAACAAAGCAGCAGGTCAGGACATAAGATCAACTACATATGGTTTGTGAATGTAGCTTTTGACTGTGAGGGAGTTTCTTTTGCAGTGTGTTTCACTTGTGTGTTCACATCTGTTTGTGTGTATGTGTGTGTTTGCTGTCTGTTCTCAGAGTTTGTGTTTGGGAACAAAAGGTCACCTCCCCTGATGTTACTCATGGAAATATGCAGCATACTGAGGAAGAGCAGAGTGACAGAAATAAAACAGCCATTGCCAGGGTGCAGTTTTACTGACACAACACATCACTGTTGTCAGAAAGAAACCACGCAATGCAGCTTGAGTGTTTTCTCTTTTTCTTGAGGTCAGTTGACAGTGTTTGTGAGCTTCCTGACTCCCATAGCCTTCAGACTTGGTGAGAAGCCAGATGGTTTGATTACTGGATGGACATGTGGGAGAAAAGATTCCCCTGCTTCAGTTCTGAAAAACAGACTATTTTGCAGAGGTTTCACGCAGCAGGAGAAATATTCCCCATCCTCCCTGGAGAAGTTTGTTGTGTTGCAAGCTGTTGCTGGGTGGTGGCGAATTAACACACTGCTGCTATCAGGGAGTTGTGCAACAGGACAGAAAGGAGACAGAAAACTGTTGAACTACTACTATTGCTACTGCTACTACAACTCCCATCAGTGCTGCTACGACAGTATTTAGTGCTGGGTGTTAAGGGCTGTATGTGTTTCCTGCCCTGCTGTTTGTAACCCTCTAACCGCCCAGGTGTGCTGATTAGTAAATGAGGCACACCTGACCTGTGATTGGTCAGAGGCTTTTGGATGTGGCACTATTGGTGCCTGGGATTTTGTGTTACTTTGATAGTCTTGATTTACTCTTGATTTAGTTTCTTGGTTGTCTTGGTTCTGTGGTTGTTTTTTAGTAAATGGGGGAAATTTACTGAACGTGAAGATTTCAACCAAAATGTGTCTGTAGCACCAAGAATCAAAAGTTAGTGATTGTAAACCTTTTTGGTTTGTGACCTTGTTACCCCCCAGCTGAGCTCATAAGTACGGACATAAGTTTGAATTTCCCTTCTCTGATTGTTTGATTTGTATGATATTTAGGAGCTTTCAAAGGTAAAAGTATCCAGGATTTGACAAGAAATTTAGCAAAAAAACAAAAGAGACAAATCAGAAAGACAAAAAGAGAGATATGTGCTATAGTCTCTGGTGTACAACCTCTATTACACATGAGAGCTTTTTTCCCTGTGCTTTTGTTGTGACGTGAGTGGTGATGGAAAAAGGTGATGTCAGATATTGTCACACATCAAACAGGATTGAGTAATATAAAAACGAGAACCTGGTTGGGTTGTTTGCTTATGTTACCAGGGAGATGCCACCATTCATCAAATCTGATCAAACCACACCCACACCATCATGACGAAGCAGTTTAATGTTCAACTCTTATTCAATCATTACTCAAGATTTATAAATGTGATTGTTGAGGTTCCGAAAAGGAAGTTTCTTTGAAATAACCATGTAGTTTGGTACTAATTAAAGGTGAAATTGATTAGATTGATACGCTTCTAATTTCAAATAATTATAATTAATTTCTACTGTAACTTAGAGAGTATTTTAGTCAGTGTACACACCAATAATCAGTGAACTTTAATGAATATTTATTGTGGTTTAATTGCATAATTCTGAGGAGGAAACTTGCTAGAGTTTTTTTAATTAAATTACTGATCCTTTATTTAACCAGAAAAGCTACACAAAGCTAAGTTAAGCTAAACATATGCAGAATTAAACAGAAATGCGATTATAGAGACATGAATAAAATTTCCATCCAATGTCATTTCCATCTCTTGGAAAAAACCTAAATTTCACCTTTTAAACAACCAAAGAGCTGTCTTAACCTATGAGAAAAGCGCAACTTCTGCAAAATTGATGCAAATTCACAGAAAGGGACCAAGTGAAAGTAAGTGAAGAAGGTTCCCAGCAGAGGGGAGGGATCAGCACACATTAAAGCACTTTTACATGGTTAAGTGTGGATTTGGGGAATTAGTAATACAAGTAATTTCTAGAAACGGAGCTAGATAAGACATTTTTAGCCATGATAGCCACATGGCCTTAGAGATGTCAATGTCAGTCTGTTGATCCATACTGAAACATCTCAACCACTATCAGCTGCGTAAAGTTTTAAAAAAAAATTGGTAAAGATATTCATGGCGCCCAGAAGATGAATTGCAATGAGGATGAATATTTACTTTAATGATCCTGAACTTTCATCATGTCATACTTTCCAATAATTGGATTTATGACCAAATACAAGCAAAACGAATGAAATTCCCATCAGCATCATGTTAGCGTGGTGTTGATGTTAGCATTCAGCTCAAAGTACTGCTGTGCCTCATAAAGCGTGTAGTATGCCTGTAGACTCTTAGTATGTCATCAAATGTACAGAGATAAGGTTGCTGTAACCCAAAAATGGCTTCATAGATACAGTAAGTAACCCTAACCCATGTACAGTACATCTGTATAGTCAAGTAAAGGCAGAAAAGTGACTAAACAAGAGTATACATCTACAGAACCCTATAATAAAGTGTTGCAGAGTCATTTTTTTTAACTTGTCGTATGTTGTTTTTAGTCTGCAAGACTTGACTGACAGCAGTGGAGAATATGTCAAGGTAAGCTTCCTCTTCCTCTCACATGACTTCAAATCTACTTTCATGTAACAGTTTTATATTGTTTATGTGTGACTTCCTTTTACTGTGATGTAGCTTTTCTCTCTTCCTCTTGTCAGACAAGACACTTTCTGTTCCCAGCAATGGCATCATTTTCAGGAAAGGCTGAATTAAAACTTGTTTCTATCTGCTGCTGTGACCCTCTATACACGGCACGCAGGCTCTAATTCAATCTGGACAGGTGACAGAAAGTTCTCCGGGAATGCGGTGAAATACTTTGAAGCTGCCACCGTTGCCTCTGGTAACTGCTGTAGCCTCGATTCGGTCGGCAGCTCCGCCTGGAAAAGGTGGAAAGAGAGCGAGAGAATTTCCAGTTCATTGACTTATAATTGGATACTTGACAAACACACTTGTCTGAATGGGACAAGCTGGCAATGAATGATAATGCTAATGAAATTAAAGCTATTCATTAGGGGCTTCCAGGTCTTTTCCCCCTCCCAAAACACACACACTCTCACTCTCACTCTCTCTCTCTCTCTCTCTCTCTCTCTCTCTCTCTCTCTCTCTCTCTCTCTCTCTCTCTCTCTCTCTCACACACACACACACACACACACACACACACACACACACACACACACGTATACACACTCTCCTATTTTGTTTTGAAGTGGTCCTGGCCCAGTGCCCAGCCCTTGATTCACAGTCCAGTGGGACAAACCATTCTGTCAAACAGAGAAGGGGTGGGACGTGTCAGGGAGAAGAAAAACAACATGTTACCTATATAGCAGTGTAATAACAGTAACTAGTGTGTGTGTGTCCCAAAACAAAAGCATTCCCAGCCCATCGTTGGCGTAGCTCTTGATATACAGTATGTGTGTGTGTTTGTATAAAGACGTGTCAGACAAAGCACCACTGAGTGATGACCCTCGTCGCACAATGTCGTTGCCACGGCGACGAGGCCAGGACTCCAGCATGGTTCTGGTTCTCGGGCCCCTGGTGTCGCCAGTGTGGATGCCAGTGTGGGAATGCCCGAGCTGTCCTTCCTCCCTCCTCATCCCCCCTCTGTCCTCTCTTAACACACACACACACACACACACACACACACACACACACACACACACATTCACACAGAAACAGAACTGAGAAGGCTGCAGTTTGACTAGATTTACCCACAATGCCTTTTCTCTCAGGACCAACATTTCAAGCAGCTTTCTTAAGGAAAGACAGGAGTCTGGTTTGCTTTTCCAGACAGCAGAACAATGGAAAGAAGCAGCAGAATTGCAGCAGACCGTAGACACCATTTTGGAATTTGAACCCAGCTTCAGAAGCTACTACATGATGGTCTAAACTCATGTTATGTTTTCTGTGTTTGTTTTGTTTGGTTTTTGGGTCTAACTGTGCACCTGTGATGCCCTTTAAGTTCTCCAAAGACAAATTCTGGTTGGAGCCGCCGTCTGAGAAACTGAAGAAGCAGCTGGAGGAGGAGCTGAAGCTGAGTGGCACCAACCTGAAGAGCCACGCCTGGTACCACGGACGTATCCCCTGGGAGGTATGCCACACACACACACACACACACACACACACACACACACACACACACACACACACACACACAATTAAATTCAGTTGGACCTCTGAAATAGTTTATTACAGCAGTTAACATAGTTTGATTTTGGCGTCTAGGCTCCGACCTCATCATTCCCCGCAGATATGTTTACATAGAGATATTGGGGAGTGATGAGCAATACGGATGCAGGGCAGGCATTGACAGAGCAGAGGGAGACCTGGGAAATTGTGCAGTTTAAAGAGACCACCAGATTGGAAGGGTGCGCTTGGTTAGTGATTATAGAGTGAGGCATGTCATGTGTGTATATCAGTGGAGCTTGAGTTGACTGCCTGAACTAGCTCGCAGGCTTTGCTCCATATAATGCGTTTCACATTGCGTAACAAAACCAGGTATTTTAACAACTGGATCCAAAGTAAAACTGGCTATGGGAACCTAACCCTCAATTTGAGTTTTACATTAAAATAACACAACTGAATTATTTTTCAGTGGATTTTTTATTTAAAATCTCAGGAATCTTGAGTCATGCAGTGGTTCAACCACGAGAGGGAGCTCTGTTCAAACGCCAACTGAACTGATTCTTAGTTTAAAGGAAAAACCTTTGTAAAAAACAAAACGAGGTGTCCCTCTAAGTTGCAGTGTTAATACAGTTAACAGTTATTATTTAGATGAATAATTGAACAGATACAATATTACAGCTGCAAGCATCAGGATACATAGCAGGTGACTACACGTGTAACAGGAATTAATCCAGTTACCCTTTGAAAATTCACTAGCACTAAAAAACTGTATTTTTCTCCCAAGGTGAGAAAATACAAACTCATAATGTTGGCCACTATACTGCTGTATGAACTTTTTGTGTGAACATGTGTATTTACATAAAAATGTCGCATAGTAGTTCCAATAACCAAGAAAGATTCAAATGTCTCCACAGGTGTCGGAGAGCCTGGTGGTGAACCACGGCGACTTCCTCATCAGAGACTCTCAGTCCTCTCAGGGGGATGTTGTCCTCACCTGCCACTGGGAGCAGAAAACACTTCACTTCCTCATCAGGAAGACGGTGGTTCAGTCTGGTGAGACGTACACTCGGGTCCAGTACAGCCTGGAAGGGGAGGCCTTTGAATCTTTACCAGCTCTTGTTCACTTCTACGTGGGCAGTAAGGCGGCCCTGACCCGGTGGAGTGGAGCTCAGATTCACAGGCCGGTGAACAGGACGTTGCCTCTCAGCTACCTGGAGACGGCCTTCTGCACAGCCGTCAGCCCGCCGTCTTGCTACAGCGGGCTGAAGAACTGCGGCGAGAGTGGAGAGGAGAGTGTCTGTCCGAGAAGGTATGGTTTCATTGAGAACATAGAAAAACACAGAGGGCTTGTTTAATTCTTTTCAGTTAATTTTTCCACTTGTATGTAAACTATGAGATGAAACTGTAAAGTTGAGGCAGAGTTTCTCAGTAACATAACATGTGGTCACAGGTGATTTCTAATGACTTTGCATGACATTTTTATTTTTAAAGATTACGTTGCCATTAATTTGCCTTTCTCCTAGACTATCAAACCACCTTGTTTAGTCTATAAAATGTCAGAAAATAGTGAAAAATGTACACTTCAATTTCCCAGAGAACATGGTGATGTTTTTAAATTACTTATTTTGCTTCATCAACATCCAAAACCCTAAAATATTCAATTTACAACGAAGAAAAACCAGCAGCAAATCCTCAAATCGGAGAAGCTGGAACCAGAGAATGTTTGAGTTTCTGTCTCATATATCACTTGAACAATAAGTGATATATGAGACAGAAACTCCAAACATTCTCTGGTTCCAGCTTCAGTCAATCAATATCAAAGTTGGTGGCAATCAATTTTATGTCAATTGACAAATTGTTGAATTTACTAATCAGTTTCAGACGTATTTTTAAAGGTTGTGTTCTAAACGTGTGTGTTTGGGGCGTCCTCTTTAATCTCTACACAACTAAGTACAAACGAAGGTCCTAATCAAATTCACATGACAGCTTAAATCTTTGTTTCATGGACCGGAGCCTAATACAGCTAAAAACAACCATCATTCAATCATATGTACAAAACTATGATAGCATTGTAGATGAACTGATGACTGTGTTTGAGCCTGCGTGTGTACACAGTAAAAGATCAAAGAGAAAATCAAAAAACACAATAAAGTGATACCTGCAGTTTGCAATCTTTTATTTAACACTTAAAAAAACTAAATATATATATATATTGTTTGTGTGACTATACTCCCTACCTGGCTTTAGTTTGGGCAAGTATAATACAAGAGTCTCAGTCAGCGCTGAAAGTTTAGACACGCTGCTCTTTGCTCTGTTGACTCTGTTGCAGTCCTTTTTTGTGATAACGGCTGATATGTTGTATTTTTGTTCAATGGGCTTCTGTGACAAAACTTCACTTAGCAGCACCATAAGTCTCTCTTAATATCATGTTATCAGTCTAAGAAAAACATGATGATGATATACGGATTCAAAATGAGATACTGTTTCCTGTATTGTGACAACCATCTGCCATCTCTCTCTCTCTATCTCCCCCTCTCTCTTTGTGTCTCCATGCAGTCCTTCCTCTCTCCACCAGAAGGAGGCAGATGTAAACAGAGAGCAGGACGGCCAGCCTCTGCTGACTGCTGGAGAATCCTCTCTCTCAACTCCGTACAACAACAGTGAGTTTAATACTATATTTAACTCTTTTTGCTCTTTGCTCTGATGCTCTGAGCCAATAAAATAGTTAAATCATTAATAACCAAGGAGAGGACAGTTGAATATTTGAGTAAAATCTTTCTTCAGGGCTCACAGGATACAATAGAACTCACTTTGCTGGCCAAATAGGTGCATCATGTGTGCAGTTGTTGCACAAGTGGTGGGGTTATAGTAAAGTATTTTAGATTGATTTTATTGATTCTGTCTGACAAATAGAGCCTGACCTATTCAACCGCATGGCTTGTTATCAGATGATTTTCGTTCATCACAGATATATGTAAAACACAGATTTAATATTCAGAAGAAAGATGTGCTCAAACAACACACACTACTTCAAATGATTGTTATAGTTGAAAGTAATAAGGTAGTAATTGATTACATGTAATAATGATTATGGGATTACATAATCAGATTTTTAAAAAATGCACATAATCAAATTACATTTGAAATTAGATGTTAAATTATATTATAATTACCTACATTTTGGATTTAAAATATGACAATTTTAAAAATTAATTTGGTCACGATTACCAATGTTCTATTAAGATCAGATCAGCCCACACAGCCCCTGATTGGTGGAGTGTGGCTAAGAACAACAACAATGGTTTTCAACAAGGGAAATAGGAAAAAGGAATACGGTTTGGGAAGTTTCTACACCTGCATCGCCATGGCCTGTAGAATGATATGGTAATCTTAGAAAGATGAAGGTGCAGCTTTATATTGTTGTTGTTTTATTTACTGGAAAATATATAAACAATTTTTCTAAAACCAGATAACCAGATACAGAAGAGGAAAACGTAAGTTGCTGGATGGGTAAACTAAGCTTGAATTTGATTAATTTAAAGAATTTGAAATGGAAAAAAAATACAAATTACAAACTATAGAGGTGTCAGAGAGAAAAAATAATATGGACTCTAAATACTGAACAGTTTTTGAATGTTAATATTATTGTCTTTACAAGAAATCAGGATCCAAATTCCTCATTCCCTTTTGACTTTGCTTCTTGAAAACACTCTCCTCCACAAAAACTTTACTGCAGAAATAAAAACAGTAAAGACTAACAAAATAACTGCCAGCAAAAATGCCACTACATCAACTGAGTAGTACTGGATCCTCGACATCTTATAAGACTCTGTCCTTAGATGCTTCGCTCCTTTGTGCCTCATGACAAACTCGATCCAAAACATGGCACGGTCCAGTGGTTTCATGGGCTGATCTCTGTGCAGATTGGACAGGGTTGTCATCTTCTCTCTGTAGGTCGGTTCATAGAGTACCTCCTTCAGTGCCTCCAGGAAGTTGTCTTTGTTCACAGTTGCGATGTCCAGGACTTTGGCCACACCTCTTGCTTTCATCCTGAAGAAGTTGTCCTGCTGGTCAAACATTAAGGGTAGGCCGACAAGGGGGACACCATGGTAGATGGCCTCCTGTATTCCATTGGTGCCTCCATGAGCCACAAACAGTCTGGTCTTGGGGTGACCCAGGAGGTCATTTTGAGGCAGCCAGTCCAAGAGTAAGGTGTTGTTGCCGAGGGTGGATGGTCTTTTTCCTTTGTACCTCCAGATCACCTTCTGAGGAAGTTGGGCAAAAGCAGCGGCAATGTCTTCAGCAATGTCCTCAGGAAGTTTTGCCACCAGGGTTCCCAATGTCATCACAATGATACCGTGTTCACCAGAACTCTGGACAAAGTCCTCTAGTTCTTTAGAGAGGGGCTTTGAGGGTTTGCACTGAAATCCTGACATATAGACGATGTTTGGCATTGTGGGTCGTGGAAACTCAAAGGTAAAATCATTCCTCATCAGCCAGATGTCTGCTGACTGGAACAGCTCCATATAATGTACATCATTTCCAAAGTAACGATGGACAAATGGTTTGTAGTTTGGGTCTGTTATGTACCAAATTTGGATACGAGTGAAGATATAGTAAAGGATATTCTTGACCCGCTGGGGAAATGTCATCTTGTCGGTCAGCTCTGTCATTGGAATTGGGACATACGACAATGGGGTAGGTGCAATTGCGTGATGCCCCTCACCCTGAATAGTCCACCTCACATTCAAGACAAGTGGAAGACCCAAACGGTGACCCAGAAGCACCCCTGCACCAATTCCAGGGTCTGTTAGTACCAAATCATATTTGGCATTGCGGAGGCTCTGCATCAGTTCGGTATTCTCAAACATTTCCCCTACCATCTCAATCACCTGTTTATTCATCTGATAGAAGTGTGCCACCAGTTCATACTCCAGAGATATACGAGTCCAAAGGGAAGCACCTTCCCGCCGCATGTTCACCATTGTGGTTACAAATGACCCAAAGCTTTCCTCATCAAAACCAGCAGTGGAATTTACAGTGATGGACTGGTAGTGAGGGGACTCTGGCTTGATGTACCAGCTGTCTGATGGCCGCAACACTGTGATTTCATGGCCTCTGGAGTGAAGCTCCTCGATGAGGACTTTCATGTTGATCCAATGGCTTCCATCCAAAGGGTACACCAAGACTTTCCCTGCATTGACCAAGGGTGAATAGAAGAGCAGCACCACAAGTGCCACCAAGGTCAGTCGGGGCATCTCTGAAAGAAATTCTGACAAGTGATGTAAAGAGTTAGATCTTGAGTTGAAGATTATGCATCAACTTAATAAACAACTCAAAATAGAAATACAATTTTCAGCTACTTCATAGTTTTAGAAATATGTGTGCCGACTATGAGCAGATATGACTAATATTTTACTGAACACTCAGGTTTTAGTCTGGAACACAAAAACTGATGAATGATTGAACCTGGCCACTTCACTCAAAGTGGACTCATTTAAAAACTCTTGTTGACGGTTTAGATAAAGAAGTATCCTGCCATCAATGTTCTCAAGACCCCTTAGCTCCTTGCAACCTGTGATTAAATAAGCCTGTCATCTGGAGTGTTTTATAAAATGACAGTTTAGTCTGAAAAACATCCACTGAGGATCAGTGGAGCTCAGCATTTGGAAGCTCTAGTAATTTCCTTTGTCTGGTAGCGATGGTTAGATGTAGATGAATATGTAGAATATTTTCATAAGGTTCAAGGTCTTTGAGAGATGGTGATTCATGTCATTATCAAAACCACTGAGCAGAGTTTGTGAGTAGTCCAGCTTCCATGACAGACTCAAGAGGACTGCTTATAGTCCAGACAAGCTAGAACTAGAGATGTGCTGTAAGTATAGTAGATAAAATTGTGTTGTACTCAAATTCCTTTTAATTAATTTTGGTGGACAGTTTAGAAGAGGTTTGATGCAGGACAAGTTTTTAAGTTTGAAAATCAAAAACTATAATGATTCTATTCAAATGAAAGGGGCACGTTTCTATTCAAGTGTAGTACTCTTGAATATATAGTCTCCATATGGCATGTATGGTCTTACATTTTGGATCACATCCACACGGATGTCCATATAGACCTGTGTGGACATGGGCAGATGATAAAATTTACGTCACTAATATCCTGTTGCTATGCCGCTACGAAAGTATCAAGAGTTGAAATTACTTTTAAGTCATTATTTCCTAGTTTAATCAATTAAAATACAAGCCATGATTATTTATGATTATTCATACATTTCCTGGCTCTGAACAATACCACCTAATCACAGTTGAGAGCAAAGACTTACTGTTAAAAGATCCAGTAAAGTGCAGCCAAAACAAACTGATGCATACCACTCTTTATGCAGAGTATTTTCCTTATTCTTTTGGCAAACTGAGGCACACTGCTGCGAGACTTGCATAACTGCCAGTTTTCCTACAGCTCAGTAACAGTTTCCCGATTACACATTGCACAGGGTGGGAATTCCAGCTGCTAAATCCCAGGAGGTTTACAAAAGCTGTTTGCATTCAGTTCCCTGTCTCAGGTTTCACAGCTTTGTGTTTATGTACATGTATTGCTCAGTTAAGATAGGTGTCCAACTATAAAGGGGATTTAATAGCAGCTGCCTTTTGTATTTACACGGTCAAAGGTCAGAGGACCTTTCCAAATAGTATCATAACAGTTTATGTGAGCAAAAGTAATTTTGTGCTTTTTATGTTAGTTATAATTAATTTATTTGGAGAGACTTCAGAGTAGTGCATTAAATAGCCAAGACTACCTGTAATAAAATAAGTGTATTCTTTCTCTGTGTAAGAAAAGGTCCCTGGCCATTCCTACATTTCTGAAAACAGGAAACATGAGGCTATTTTGTGAGCTGATAAGCAAATGTTTACAAAATAATTACTCAATGATCTTGCTTTAATTACATAGAACATGTTTCCTGTTGCCGTGAATCTACACATCCAAATCTGTAAATGTTGATTTTCTTCTCACAGTTCATAAGCCGAACATTAAGAGCACCATATTTGTGAAAGGCCACAGTTTCAAGTAAAGATGCTCATTGCATTCATTTAGCCATGTCCTGTTGTATATAAAACATATTTTATATATAAATAAATATTGCACATTGTGCAGATGCGTTTCCTGTTTATTTCTATTATTGAATTTCTGCTTCAGTGTGCCCTTATTTTGGTCAGAAGCGATCTTTATGTTTTCATAATTTGAAAAAAGAATAATAAAAAACAGGAGCAGCAATAATAAGCATTAAATTGTAAAAGTAAAAAAATAACTATACTATATAGAAATAACATTGAGCTTTTCAATAGGAAACATCTGGAAGTCTCTATCTGGTTCTGTGAGACTGTAAGACCGCAACATCCGTCAGAAAGTAATCAGGGTTAAGCTGAACAGTCTATTCATGCACATATACAGTAATCTTCTTCCCATCCAACATGAACAATATTGTATTAACATACCACCAGCCTATTTCTGCTTCTAAAACTCTTTTACTGGTCGGATTTTTGATCTAAACACTTACCGAGCGTGTCCCAGTGAACAGTTTTCACATGTCAACTCGAGCTTGTTGTTTGAGCGTCCAACCAACCTGACAGCAGACGGCTGACTGACTAACTATTGTCCAGCTCCGGCAGTCAGAGCAGCTCGGGGGGTGTTGGCACTTGAGTAACACGACTAAAGTTCAGAGTGTGTATGGTATGCAGCAGCAGGTTTGTTACACAACGGAAAGCTGATTGAGAGTCTCACATGGAAAACTCTGAGTTTGAACTTAAGATGTAGTACTGAGATAAGACTGATATGCGGTTGCAGGTTAATATAGAGCAAAGGCAAATAAACCCGACATGAAGACCGGAGTGATTTCTTTGTTTTATTCCTCATTTAATCACATTTCCCACTTTTTGTCCTTTCTGTAAACCCATTACATCTTTAGTTTGAATAGCAGCTATGACTCTCACAGTTTTTAGTCATAGTTTAAATAATGCTTGATGAAGGTCTCTGATGGAAACCTTGCTTCAATAAATAAATATTGCACATTGTGCAGATGCGTTTCCTGTTTATTTCTATTATTGAATTTCTGCTTCAGTGTGCCTTTATTTTGGTCAGAAGCGATCTTTATGTTTTCATAATTTGAAAAAAGAATAATAAAAAACAGGAGCAGCAATAATAAGCATTAAATTGTAAAAGTAAAAAAATAACTATACTATATAGAAATAAAATGTGAAGAGAAGGTACCATTGCACCTACATAGATTGATGAGTCAGTGTGATGTAAGTGGAAGGTCATCATAGTGCGTGACCAAACAGTGTACTCATGCCAGACATGTGCATGAACTACATAACCTTGTTCACTGACTTCAAAACAGTCGATATGTTCTTTTACGAGACAAATGAATTACACATTAAAACAAATATGTTTCACACAGAAGCTGAGGTGAAGGATTTTACCAGGTAAAGGGTCAATCTACCTTTTAAAAAATGTAAAAATGAAACTTTAATTTCTCAAAAATTGTGATCAAGGAATAACTGAAATGCTGGAGGATATTTTTCATTCTCACAGTGTTCCAGTTTGTTCTTCTTGAGTGTGATCAGTTTCTCTGGCCTTGGTGTGACAGGTTTGACTCACCTGTAGCTGCAGGACATGGCCATTCTGTGTTTTTCTGAGCCAACAATTAACTGATCTTACAAGCATTGTGTGTGTACTGTATCCAAACCCTGATATGTTTTATTCCTATGTGCCATAGAGCTCCATTGTTGGTCAAAAATTAAAAACATTGAGCTACGCTGTAGCACTGGGTGACATGTTCCTTATTTACCACTGTCCTACTGCCCCATATACTCATTAGTGCACCAAATGTGGATTAATCTGCAGCTGAAAATAGTCCCCAACAAATGCAGTATTTACTTGTGTTTGAGTTATGTCTGCTACAAGTTAATGTGACTCCAGCTGTTTTAGGAAATTACTGAGCCTTAAAAAAATGTAACTCTAATTTTGTGAACGTTTTTAATTAAGCTTAAATAATTTATGTCTTAAAGGTCCAGTTTGTAGTGGCATTTAGTGGTCTTGCATTTAGTGCAACATCTGTACATATAAAAGGCTTCCTCTAAGTTTAAAAATATATTATACGATTCCTATATTCAGGTGATTATACACTAATGAAACCATACCTATGCATAACAAATTCTGTTTCTGCCAATAGGTTGTCCTAAATGTTACACACTAGACCTTTTAGCAGGAAATTTTGCCTGGGATGACAGAATAGCAAAAAGGAATAATGCTTGGGAAATGTCTACACCCCTGCATGTGGATGGCAAACACAATGGCAAACACAATGCAAGTGCTATCTGATTACAATAACCCAAAACTAAGTCAACTATATAAGGAGTGTAAGAAGATACCAATAAGCTGCTGAGCTTTGGCAGTTCTCCTTCACAATACCACCTGCCTCAAGGAACTGAACAGTAATTTAATATGTCACCATTTATTTTAGTTGTCCTTTATTTAACAGAGACAAAGCCCATTATTAAGTATTTACACAAAATGTTCCTTAGTTTTCCTTTTTGATGCAGAAAATACAGCTTTGAGAGTGAATTTTTTTGTTGTTTAGGAATTTTGTTAATTTAAATAAATATTTGTGAATGATAGGGTTGGGCGATATAGTTGTAATCATTATTATCATTATTATGATATTAATAAGGATTTTTTAATTGTATACTGTATTTGTTGAACGTAATCAGCGTTATCTTTGTATGCTGTATATGCAAATTAAAAGAATTGCCTCTGTCTGCAGTCAGGGCTGCAAATCTCAGGATCCGCAGTTTATGTTTAGACTGCCCAGTCCTGGGCGCAGAAAAGTTAAGACTGCCCACTCTTGTGAGATTTGCATCGGTTCCTGTGGGATGACAGCATCCCAATCCCAATGCAATCTATTATGCGAGACCAAACTCTTCATATGTGTAAAAGAACATTTAAAAAAAACAATCTTTTCACTAGCTTTTATTTACAGCTTGCTCATTATTTGGACAATATACATTTGTGGAATAATAACATGACAACATCATATCATCAATAAAAGTCATAAGCAATATTCAAACATCTTCCAGCCCTTGTTATAGACAATCACAATATAGCTACATGTGTCATTTTTAAAATGTTTTTAATAAAGAATGAATCTTATTTAATTTCTTTCAAACAAGCACAGTAGTTCATGAGAATAAGAAAAATCTTTAAAAAACTGCAAGAAATTGATCAAAATATTCCTGAATATGGATTAATAACTGACCATATGACTCAAGTTCTATCTTTTCATCAAGTTGTTTTGTAAACTATTTGTCGATTTTATATGTTCTGACAACTAACAAACACAAACAAATGAACAGAACAGAAACATGACCTCTCTGGCTGAAGTCATTGGACAGTATGAGGTTTGTGGGTGCATTCAGTTACTCACACTCAGGCAAGTTAGGATACCAGAGTAAGATTATTTGTATGCTGACAAGGACTCTAAATACAGAACAGTTTTTGAATGTTATTGTTATTGTCTTTACAAGAAATCAGGATCCAAATTCCTCATTCGCTTTTGACTTTGCTTCTTGAAAACACTCTCCTCCACAAAAACTTTACTGTAGAAATGAAAACAGTAAAGACTAACAAAATAACTGCCAGCAAAAATGCCACTACATCAATCGAGTGGTACTGGATCATCGACATCTTGTAAGACTCTGTCCTTAAATGCTTTGCTCCTTTGTGCCTCATGACAAACTCGATCCAAAACATGGCACGGTCCAGTGGTTTCATGGGCTGATCTCTGTGCAGATTGGACAGGGTTGTCATTATCTCTCTGTAGGATGGTTCATAGAGTACCTCCTTCAGTGCCTCCAGGAAGTTGTCTTTGTTCACAGTTGCGATGTCCAGGACTTTGGCCACACCTCTTGCTTTCATCCTGAAGAAGTTGTCCTGCTGGTCAAACATTAAGGGTAGGCCGACAAGGGGGACACCATGGTAGATGGCCTCCTGTATTCCATTGGTGCCTCCATGAGCCACAAACAGTCTGGTCTTGGGGTGACCCAGGAGGTCATTTTGAGGCAGCCAGTCCAAGAGTAAGGTGTTGTTGCCAAGGGTGGGTGGTCTTTTTCCTTTGTACCTCCAGATCACCTTCTGAGGAAGTTGGGCAAAAGCAGCGGCAATGTCTTCAGCAATGTCCTCAGGAAGTTTTGCCACCAGGGTTCCCAATGTCATCACAATGATACCGTGTTCACCAGAACTCTGGACAAAGTCCTCTAGTTCTTTAGAGAGGGGCTTTGAGGGTTTGCACTGAAATCCTGACATATAGACGATGTTTGGCATTGTGGGTCGTGGAAACTCAAAGGTAAAATCATTCCTCATCAGCCAGATGTCTGCTGACTGGAACAGCTCCATATAATGTACATCATTTCCGAAGTAACGATGGACAAATGGTTTGTAGTTTGGGTCTGTTACGTACCAAATTTGAAAACGAGTGAAGAAGTAGTAAAGAATGTTCTTCACCCGCTGGGGAAACGTCATCTTGTCTGTCAGCTCTGTCCCTGGAATTGGAATAAAGGAAAATGGGGTAGGTGCAATTGCGTGATGCCCCTCACCCTGAATAGTCCACCTCACATTGAAGACAAGTGGAAGACCCAAACGATGACCCAGAAGCACCCCTGCACCAATTGCAGGGTCTGTTAGTACCAAATCATATTTGGCATTGCGGAGGCTCTGCATCAATTTAGTATTCTCAAACATTTCCCCTACCATCTCAATCACCTGCTTATTCATCTGATAAAACATTTCCACCAGTTCATACTCCAGAGATATACGAGTCCAAAGGGAAGCACCTTCCCGCCGCATGTTCACCATTGTGGTTACAAATGACCCAAAGCTTTCCTCATCAAAACCAGCAGTGGAATTTACAGTGATGGACTGGTAGTGAGGGGACTCTGGCTTGATGTACCAGCTGTCTGATGGCCGCAACACTGTGATTTCATGGCCTCTGGAGTGAAGCTCCTCGATGAGGACTTTCATGTTGATCCAATGGCTTCCATCCAAAGGGTACACCAAGACTTTCCCTGCATTGACCAAGGGTGAATAGAAGAGCAGCACCACAAGTGCCACCAAGGTCAGTCGGGGCATCTCTGAAAGAAATTCTGACAAGTGATGTAAAGAGTTAGATCTTGAGTTCAAGATTATGCATCAACTTACTAAACAACTCAAAATAAAAATACAATTTTCAGCTTCTTCATAGTTTTAAAAATATGTGTGCCGACTATGAGCAGATATGACTAATATTTTACTGAACACTAAGGTTTTAGTCTGGAACACAAAAACTAATGAATGAATGAACCTGGCCACTTCACTCAAAGTTCGACTCATTTAAAAACTCTTGTTGACGGTTTAGATAAAGAAGTATCCTGCCATCAATGTTCTCAAGACCCCTTAGCTCCTTGCAACCTGTGATTAAATAAGCCTGTCATCTGGAGTGTTTTATAAAATGACATGATTTGTGGCAGAGGTCCGGAACCTTAAGAAGAACTAAAACTGTAGATTCCTCTCAGTTTAGTCTGAAAAACATCCACTGAGGATCAGTGGAGCTCAGCATTTGGAAGCTCTAGTAATTTCCTTTGTCTGGTAGCGATGGTTAGATGTAGATGAATATGTAGAATATTTTCATAAGGTTCAAGGTCTTTGAGAGATGGTGATTCATGTCATCATCAAAACCACTGTGCAGAGTTTGTGAGTAGTCCAGCTTCCATGACAGACTCAAGAGGACTGCTTATAGTCCAGACAAGCTAGAACTAGAGATGTGCTCTAAGTATAGTAGATACATTTGTGTTGTACTCAAATTCATTTAATTAATTTTGGTGGACAGTTTAGAATAGGTTTGATGCAGGACAAGTTTTTAAGTTTGAAAATCAAAAACTATAATGATTCTACTCAAATGAAAGGGGCACGTTTCTATTCAAGTGTAGTACTCTTGAATATATAGTCTCCATATGGCATGTATGGTCTTACATTTTGGATCACAACAACACGGATGTCCATATAGACCTGTGTGGACATGGGCAGATGATAAAATTTACGTCACTAATATCCTGTTGCTATGCCGCTACGAAAGTATCAAGAGTTGAAATTACTTTTAAGTCATTATTTCCTAGTTTAATCAATTAAAATACAAGCCATGATTATTCATGATTATTCATATTGGTTGCTGTCGTGTACTCTACACAACAGCAACATTTCCTGGCTCTGAACAATACCACCTAATCACAGTTGAGAGCAAAGACTTACTGTTAACAGATCCAGTAAAGTGCAGCCAAAACAAACTGATGCATACCACTCTTTATGCAGAGTATTTTCCTTATTCTTTTGGCAAACTGAGGCACACTGCTGTGAGACTTGCATAACTGCCAGTTTTCCTACAGCTCAGTAACAGTTTCCCGATTACACAACTGCACAGGGTGGGAATTCCAGCTGCTAAATCCCAGGAGGTTTACAAAAGCTGTTTGCATTCAGTTCCCTGTCTCAGGTTTCACAGTTTTGTGTTTATGTACATGTTTTGCTCAGTTAAGATAGGTGTCCAACTATAAAGGGGATTTAATAGCAGCTGCCTTTTGTATTTACACGGTCAAAGGTCAGAGGACCTTTCCAAATAGTATCATAACAGTTTATGTGAGCAAAAGTAATTTTGTGCTTTTTATGTTAGTTATAATTAATTTATTTGGAGAGACTTCAGAGTAGTGCATTAAATAGCCAAGACTACCTATAATAAAATAAGTATATTCTTTCTCTGTGTAAGAAAAGGTCCCTGGCCATTCCTACATTTCTGAAAACAGGAAACATGAGGCTATTTTGTGAGCTGATAAGCAAATTACTCAATGATCTTGCTTTAATTACATAGAACATGTTTCCTGTTGCCGTGAATCTACACATCCAAACCTCTAAACATTGATTTTCTTCTCACAGTTCATAAGCCGAACATTAAGAGCACCATATTTGTGAAAGGCCACAGTTTCAAGTAAAGGTGCTCATTGCATTCATTTAGCCATGTCCTGTTGTTGAGCTTTTCAATAGGAAACATCTGGAAGTCTCTATCTGGTTCTGTGAGACTGTAAGACCGCAACATCCGTCAGAAAGTAATCAGGGTTAAGCTGAACAGTCTATTCATGCACATATACAGTAATCTTCTTCCCATCCAACATGAACAATATTGTATTAACATACCACCAGCCTATTTCTGCTTCTAAAACACTTTTACTGGTCGGGTTTTTGATCTAAACACTTACCGAGCGTGTCCCAGTGAACAGTTTTCACATGTCAACTCGAGCTTGTTGTTTGAGCGTCCAACCAACCTCACAGCAGACGGCTGACTGACTAACTGTCGTCCAGCTCCGGCAGTCAGAGCAGCTCGGGGGGTGTTGGCACTTGAGTAACACGACTAAAGTTCAGAGTGTGTATGGTATGCAGCAGCAGGTTTGTTACACAACGGAAAGCTGATTGAGAGTCTCACATGGAAAACTCTGAGTTTGAACTTAAGATGTAGTACTGAGATAAGACTGATATACGGTTGCAATGATAAGCATTAAATTGTAAAAAATAAAGTAAAAAAACACATGATACAACATACTATATATAAAAATAGAATAAAAAATAAAATGTAAATGCAGAGAGAAGGTACCATTGCACCTACATAGATTGATGAGTCAGTGTGATGTAAGTTGAAGGTCATCATAGTGCGTGACCAAACAGTGTACTCATGCCAGACATGTGCATGAACTACATAACCTTGTTCACTGACTTCAAAACAGTCGATATGTTCTTTTACGAGACAAATGAATTACACATTAAAACAAATATGTTTCACACAGAAGCTGAGGTGAAGGATTTTACCAGGTAAAGGGACAATCTAACTTTTAAAAAATTTAAAAATTAAACTTTAATTTATCAAAAATTATGATCAAGGAATAACTGAAATGCTGGAGGATATTTTTCATTCTCACAGTGTTCCAGTTTGTTCTTCTTGAGTGTGATCAGTTTCTCTGGCCTTGGTGTGACAGGTTTGACTCACCTGTAGCTGCAGGACATGGCCTCACTGGTGGAAGGCAAAGTTACAAAATGTTACACAGTCCAAAACATCAAATAAAAAGCAATCATTAGCCACAATTAAAGGTTAAGTCTGGTGATATTCTATGTTATTCTGAGCCAACAATTAACTGATCTTACAAGCATTGTGTGTGTACTGTATCCAAAGCCTGATATATTTTATTCCTATGTGCCATAGAGCTCCATTGTTGGTCAAAAATTAAAAACACAAACAAATGCATACATTTTCTCATCATAGAATTTACAGTGACTACAGCTGTTTTAGGAAATTACTGAGTATGAATTTAGTGGTGTACATCGCAGCATCTGTAGATATAAATGGCAAACGCAAAAACAAAATATAAGGATCCCTATATTCAGGTCATTGTACACGAATGATGCTTCAGTTAATAAATATTTTCCTTCTCTTCTATCTCCAGCTTCACAGTCTAGAAGCCCTAGCATTAGCCGGGCAGCCAGTGTGGCTCCATCCCCGTCCCTCTCCAGGTGCTTGGATTCATCCCAACCCCTGCCCTCTCCCAACAGCACTCTCCACAGACAGTCTAATGACAGACCCCAACCTCATCTTAACCAGGACTCCCAACCCCCTGATACAGGTGGAAGCTGCTACACAGAGCTGTACCCCTGCCCTCAGAGCTACGTTGAGAGGCTGCAGGCGGAGGAAGGGTCAGTGGGCATTGATCCACTGAGGGTGGAGGACGGGAATGTGTACTTTTCACCGGTGGTGGAGACGGTCTCTTCTTTCAAACCAAGCAGCTACGAGTCGCCTCTGATGCCCAAGGAGAATAAGCCTTTGGAGGTGGGCATCCTGCGGAGGGTGAAGGAACTGCTAGCCGAGGTGGACCCCAGGACAGCGGCCAAACATATAACCAAGGCTGACTGCATGGTATTGTTTAAAGCTACTGTAATCATATAATATCAATATTACTTAGCAAATATTATAAGTTTCTAAAATGACTATTTATGTGAAAAGGCTTGCTCATTGCTGCAGAACTTTTTTTGCCTCTTTGATGTCTTTAATCTCACTTTATGGCCCGCAAGGTTTCCGCTTTGATTTAGTCTCACCGCTCACTGCTTTTATTATTTCCAGATGCAACAGGCAGCTGTTTTCAAGAGCTTGAATAAATCCATTGTAGAGTATCTGCTAAGAACCAAAAGGCAGACAGAAACCATTAGATGCTAGCTGGTGAACATAGTGTAGCATTCAGAAGCTAAAGAGTGAGATATTTTTCTCAGGAGTTGGTGGAGAGCAAACCAGAGCTACAGAGTTAATATTGAACACAAACACAGCATTATATTAACGCTAATGTTGCTCCATATCTGCTGTATGTTGCAGATTGGGATATCTCATGGCGTTGTTTCTTGCTCAAACAATTGCCACTAACTGAAGGAATGAAAACGAAAGAATACAAATCTTAAATCAAACATATCACACAGACATAACGCTGCAAAAATCTACTTGATATAAAGACACACATACAGGAGTAGACCAATAATCACGTGCCTGTCTGTGTTTCCCAGGTGGCCAGAATTCTGGAGGTGACTCCGGAGGTGCGAAGGATGATGGGAGTTAGTTATGGGATGGAGCTGCTCACGTTGCCACATGGCCAACAGTTGAGACTGGACCTGCTGGAGAGGTGAGTGAGGATTTGTAAATTCTTGACACTTCCACCCCCAAATGTGAACACTACCAGCACTTTGGTCCAACAGTCTACACGTGATCGTTCAGTGGTGTTTCTTTATTCTCATAAAAAATCTTTGGCCGGATACAGGGAACAGGCTTGCAGACCTACGGTATTAATGTCAAGCTGGTGAAATCTGCCCCAGCTGATGTGTATAACCGACAAAAGGGATAGTCATCATGGGCAAAAAAAACCAGAAAACTGCAGCCTAGGTTCATTAAGTTTACAGGTTAATGTGAAATTAAATGTGTTAAATGTCAGCAGGTTGACCTACACCTCACAAAGTACAGCTTAGAATGACGCATATTGTTAAAACTGGAGCCAACGACCTTGGTGAGTCACAAATGGTCACTGTACAGGAGATAGACCCTTTCATTTAGTTAGCAACAAGACCTTTCCTCTGGTGTCCCTCTTAGGGAAAAGTTTACCTTTTGTGCCTTATTTGTTGTAAAATCTCAGAACAGCAAAGTTGTGTGGATATAAACTTTTTGTGATTACAGACAATTACAAATTGACCTCCTAAAGCAATATATGATTGATGAGTCATTCTTCTCACTGTTGAGAGCTCAAATGGTGATATGAGCTAAACTTTAATGTTAGCGATCCCTCTTCCCCCTTTTCTCTCTCCACCCTCCTGCAGGATCCAAACCATGGCGACCATGTTGGCTGTCGATGTGCTGGGCTGCACAGGGACGACTGAGGAGAGGGCTGGTCTGCTGCATAAAATCATCCAAATCGCTGCTGAGCTCAAGAGCACCATGGGCAACATGTTCGGCTTCGCTGCAGTCATGAGAGCCTTAGAATTGCCGCAGGTAAACATATATCACACAGACTGGATATTTCCTTTTACAATCATTTTTGGGAGAGACAGGAAACATGAGGAGAGTGAGGATGACATGCAACAGAAATCCCTGCATTAGACTGAACTCGGCTATAGTTGACATCAAGGTGATGATACTGTTCATTAGCTATAGCCAGCAATAACCCCTTACCCTTTGTACATTAAACAATTAGCACTGTCATACATTGATAATGCTGCATCATGACCATATTATCTTTGGTGTTACAAAACAACAAGGATTGCTTACTGATTAGACTATCTGTGTCCTGTGTCCTTTATGTAAAAGTTGACTTGACAAGTTGGATATCATAAATGTCTTATCTTTATAACAGTAGGTTATAAAGTCTGTAATTGTATTTGTCATTCATTTTTGTGTCTCCGCACAAGTGCAACTGCAAGTGTAAAACTGTCCCATGATCTGGAAACCATTACTGCCCGGGTTTTAATGGTGATGTTTTTCTGTCTCTCAGGTGTGCCGTTTGGAGCAGACCTGGATGGCGTTACGGCAGCGACACACAGAGGGCGCTATTCTCTATGAGAAAACTCTGAGGCCATTTATGAAGAGTCTGAACGACGGGAGAGGTAGAGGTTCTCCTACACTGCACACTATTTTTTAAAACAATCAAAACATGGTTATATACTGATTCCTTATGGTCCATTTGTAGAGCACTCCTTCCTTTATACAAAAACACTGACTCTGTCTGTGTGTCTGTCCTCCAGAAAGCTGTCCACTGTCCAACACCACTTTCCCCCACGTCCTACCCCTCCTGTCTCTGCTGGAGAAGAGCATGGCGGTGGGTGAGGGCACAGAGCCGTGGGAAACAGTGGAAGTTGGGGTGGACGTGGTCATGTTCCACCTAGGGGCAGCAAGGACCATCGCTCAGCTGGGGGGCATCTACCGCTCCAACGCTGAGAGCAAACTCCAAGGTAAAAGAGTGGAAAGAGGAGAAAATACTGGTTTGTTGCCCTTTTTGACATTGTTGATCATGCTATGCTCTTACAAAGGCTATGCGATATTGATAATTAGAAATCCTGTAAATGTTTCCAGGACTACCTGTCTCATAGACAGCAATGTGAGATTTGGGGAAATGACCACTCCGCATTTTGACCACTGTCAAGGGGGGTTCCACAAGGTTCAATATTGGGTCCTGTCTCGTTCACCATTTATATTAACAATGTCACATCCTTTATAACTAATTATAACGCCCATATTTATGCAGATGATACAGTTCTCTATTGGTTATTATGGTGATGTTGCCTATAGACATACCTTTGCCTCCACTCTTAAACCCCTAGATTCAGTTTATCACTCTGGTGACAGTTGTTACACTCCTCATTTCATCTTGTACGAAAACAACAAGATATCACTCAGCTAACACAACCTGGTTGAGGCGTTCATGTAATGAGAGTTGCAGTTATCAGAATGTTTCCATAATCTGGTTAAACCTTTTTAAGAAACTGAGAGAATGAATAATCCAGCTGCTGAGATCTTTGGTGTACTGTCATTGCCAGTACTAGCACTAGTCAACTAGATGCTTAATTAAACATGAATAATTAAAGCCACACTAACTGGTGTTTTGAAAGACTCATCCAAGATGTCAGACAGCATGTTCTGAAACAAGGCATCCATCCCTTCCTTTGTACTGCAACTTTTAAGTAATTTAAGTACAAAAGCTCAATAACATAACACTGATATTGTCACTTTTAATATAGATGTTAAGCACAAAATGCATTTTATTATTAATATTTTAACCAAATACACCAACAAACAAGATAGTACACATTGAATCATTATAAGCAAATTCTAAACTCTGATGTTGATCCATCGGTGGTGGTGATGTGATGTTAATGTTGCAGGTTTCCAAGAGCAGTCGGAGGTCCTGGAGCTCTTCTTGACTGATTTCCAGATGAGGCTGCTGTGGGGGAGCAGGGGAGCCGAGGAGAGCCAGGTTCTGCGATACGCCAAGTTTGACCAGGTGCTGACAGCCCTGTCCAACAAGCTGGAGCCGCCAGTCCAACCACACTGACACCAGACCTGTTTTTAATACTTTTGTTTACCCTGGATGAGCTTTGTCTGTTGGACACTGAGCAGCTCTTCTCAGCAGTTGGGGTTCTGATGCCTAGCTCAAGTGCAACTGGAAAGTCATTAAAAAGGGAGAGGACACTGATGATGAACACACTTCATGCATGTAGCATGTAGACTCAAGACATCTGAATCAGAATGAAACAGTACACCTTTGTCGGAGCTGGTTGGGATTCGGATTTCTGTAAAAAAGCACATAGATGAATGCTAGCTCAAATTTGTTCTCATGTTAAATGATTAATTTCTCATATCAGTATTTTCTGTAGTTTTGATGTTGAGCCCAAATGATTGTTGCAGGTTGGTGGGGCACTGAAAGTATGAGGTAGTACTGCACCCTGGAGGAGAAAAAACACAAACCCAGAGTTGGCAAAATGTACAGTCTTGTGGCATCAAAGCTCCTGCTTTGGAGTAATGTTGTTTTCACACAAACAATCCTCAACACAGTCTCATTTACCACTACCTGTATTCTTAACTGAGTATCTGTGTGTCAACGGCAGTCAGAAATCAACTTTATCCTGCCAACATTTGTTGTTTAAGTGTCTTACCAGAGGACTTAATCTGTCCCACAATGAACCAAAATGTGAACGTAAGATATCAGTGTAAATATGGGGTACTTTGCGAGGTTCTGTTGAGGTCTTGTTCCAGGAAGCCTGAGATTTTATGAAAATAGTTAGTGCAATGAGGCTGTGCCTCAGTTTGTTTGGTTACTGTATAGAAATGTTTGTATGTCAGAAGGCCGGACCTTCAGCAACTCTCTGAACTATATGTCATATTGTACAACCCCATAACAGAATAACTTTGTATCTACATTTCCATATTTGGTATTGTGTTTATGACCATGTGTTAATTATTAGGATTTTCTACTTTGAAGTGAATATTTAATGAGATTACAGGTGCTGTAATCAGTGCTGGGTCAGTTCACTATCAGTTCAGTACTTTTGTTTATTTTTTTAAACTTCCTTTTTTGCCTTTTTTTCCTCTTTTTCCTGTTAAAAATGAAAGCTGTACAGTTGTTCACATTATCACACATACTGTGTCTCTCATTATCACTATGTGACACCACACAAGCACAGCCCACTGACACACACCATTTGTATTACCTTACATAGTATTAATGTCTAATATTTATCTGAAATTTAAAATGTAAATAAACATGTTTACCTCAATGTCAGGCTGATTTATTGGATAAAACTGTCTTATACATCTGTCAGTTACATGCCTGATTCTCATTTCTTGCCCTCCACTAACGCTGACCCATGCTAATGCCTGCTGCATATTGAGAAACAGAAAACCCAACACAAATTTCTCATACTTATTTGAAGAAGTTTGGGATGTTTTAATGTTCTTTAAGTATTTGTGAATGGGCACCCAGTAAGTATATCACAACAACCTTCCTAAATGAGATCACAACAAAGCTCTCTTTATCTCTTAATGAAGTGGTTGTCTGACCGTCCTAAAAAGTTTAATTACTGCCTTCTGTTGTGTGTCATGTCTGGAAAAAAATATTTATACTATACGTTTTTTCAGTTTTATTTTCTGTTGAATGATTTGCTAATAAAACAGCTGTTGTCACTACAACACTATTACTAATATATTCTACCATACAGTCTCGAGTGACATGTTGTTCAAATGTGTCCAGTATAGTTACATTAATTCTAATTTAAATATAAATATAATAAAATGCTGCATATATTTGGATAGAAAAATGTCAGTATTTTTTCCAGATGTTGTACTTTCTGGACTGTGATCCTCCAACGTGTCCAGCGCACTACGTCGCATGCCAGATTGTCTTCCTGGGAAATGTAGTCCGCACCGTCACTTCGTTACATGTTTCTGGAAACGTTCGTCGGAGAAGAAAAACTACAAAACTGACCGGCTATCGTTAGGAGGTCTGTTCCGGTTTTCTGTCTGCCAGCAGGCAGCCAAAATGTTGGCCGTCCTGTCTGTGCTGTTTTTATACCTTTATAATCCGGTTAGCGGCGTTTTTCAGAAACTTTACTGCACCATATCAGACAGCTGTGAGTGCGATTTTAAGCCGAATATCAAAGGTAAGATAATAATAAACCTAACGTTAGCTAACTAACGCTAACTGACGGGTGCTGCTTCTTGTTAGCCAGCTAGCAAGGCTAAAAAGATAGGTTGTCCACTAAACGGTAACTTACACATAACATATTTCATACGTTTTTGTTCGTGTGCAGAAAGTTTTGGTAAACTGGTGTTTCAGTCTACAGTGACAGTAACAGTAACTAATGTTAGATAATACTGTTACTGTAACTACTGCTAACTGCTAGTTGGTTGTTATGCCAGCTAGCAAAACACAGGAAGACTTCTCTGCTAATGTTGCTCAAAACTGAGGGTGCTGTTTAAAGAGAGTGGAAGAGGAACACATCATTGTTTTACAACTTACTCCATACTGTGGACAATGTCTTAATATGCAGTTTAAGATGTGACAGTACACAGAAACATGTTGTGGTAACTTAACGTGCTATATAATTTACTATATGGGATTAAATTAGTTTCTAACCTCCTTTTCTAAATGTACATTTTATTTCATGGTGATAGACAGTCCTGACAGAGACAGACTAGAGCCCATCGCCTTATACTGACATCTGAGAGAAAAAACTCTAAACAACCATATATTGGGGGATTTTTTTCCCCTTAAAAATAATTTAGATGCATAACACAAACACATTTGGTAAGGATCCGTTTAATTTGCTTACCAGAGGCTACACAGATAAAAAAAAAGTGGTCAATATCGAAAGCTGCAAGAGACAAGATATCCTTGTGCCACAGACTTGTGTAGTAAGATAGTGTAGTTCCTTAGTTCCTGGACATATTTAAATGATTTTGGAGTACAAGTTATTAGGGGTGTAAGAAAATATTGAAAAATATCTTAAAGCAGTATTTTGTTTTGAGATATTGTATTGATTCCCTTAAACACTATAGATTTTTGTGTTTAAACCCCCAATCGCTAGACCGCAGCATTGTAAACGTAAACTGAGCTGAACTGTGACTTGTTTTTACCCCAATTCTTTGCATATTAGGGCTGCACAATACACAGCCCTACAAGTTATGTGCTGCAGTATATTGCATGTGTTGGATGGTTGGTGACATTAACATCACCAGTGTCTTTATTTCCTGACAACCAGACCTGGAGTGGGACCTTTACAAGAATGTTTATGGACAACATCTGGCCCAAGACATAGTGTCGGAGGAGGTGGCAAAGTTTCTTAAGAATAAAAGCCCCGACCGGCCCCTGGTGCTTTCCTTCCATGGCTCCTCTGGGACAGGAAAGACGTTGGTCAGCTCCATGCTGGGAAATCATTTGTACAGCTCAGCGATGAGTAGCCCGTACGTCCATCAGTTTGTTCCGACGCTACACTTCCCCTTACCTGACCGGGTCAAGGAGTACAGGGTAAGTGGGGATCAGTGTGTAGGGAAATATGATGTAACCACCTCAGCAGTAGTCATGGGTAATTACAGGCTTGTGACAGAAAGATTTACCTAAAATAAAATTCAAAGAACAGATTAAATGTCTCCAGAAATGAGATGCTAAGAAGTAGGATGTGTTCAGTTTTGCCAAATGCTTAATTTTGCTAATGTGCAGAAGGAAAATTATGGTGGGTGGAATTGAAATGTTGTATTTGCTATTTGCTTTTATCACAGTACTGAATTTCCCTCCGTTGGTTTGCAGGAGGAGCTGAAGAGCTGGGTGCAGGGGAATCTTACGGAGTGCGCTCGCTCTGTCTTCTTTTTTGACGAGATGGAGAAGATGCCCCCAGGTCTCATTGACGTCTTGGAGCCCTTCCTGGGGCCCTCCCATGTTGTGTTTCGCACCAACTACCGCAAGGCCATCTATGTCTTCATTGGGTACGCACACTGACACACACACACAAACACACACACACAAACAAGGATTTCTGACAGGGAAAAAGACGGGGGTGCGTTGGTGCAGGCTGCTGGTTGCTTAAGGTGCAGGATGAAAGAGGACATAGTCTTTCCTTAAGTTTGAAGATTCATCAGACCCCAAAACACTGTACAGTAGTTTAAAATACTATGAGACAGGATTTCAGGATCTGGAGAATCACCAGGTACAATAGAATTACATAGTATGTGAACACATGCAGAATCTGATTGGCTAACAAAGTGTGTTGTTGAATGATAACTTCTTTGAGTTCAATCTGTTGTTGTATTTTCTTTTTTATCCGTGTTTCTATTTGAAGAAGTTGAAGACATATAAAAAAGAGAAGGAAAGTTCAAATGCGAAAATTACGGGGTTAAAATTCTCTGTAAGGGAGATGCTTTAACAAAAATTGCACATGAAAACAGCGACATTCAACAAAAGAAATGTGTGTGTTTTCCCTGCAGAACCACAGGAGAGGAAGTGATTAACAAAATGGCTCTGGAGAACCGGCAGGCTGGACTGGACAGAGAGGAAATCAAGTTGGCAGACTTGCAGGAAGCCATCGCACAAACGGTTTACAACAGCAACACAAGTAAGTGTCTTTTGTAAATTAATTGTACAATATTCAGCGATTAGTACTTACAGTCTATTTTCCACAACACTTTCTTTTTCTGTCTAAATTTACATATCACAGTGCTGAAAAGTGCTTAGCTCAGCATGTTGAGCAGAACTACACCCTCTGCCAGTGATAAGAAAATACCATTGATAACACATTTTTATGGTCTTTACCACAAATATTAAGGCTGTACTGAATGTCAGGCTTTTACATTTGAAGCTTATGTTGAGGTTTCCGAACGAAGCTTTGAATGTTATACGTTATGATGTCATCACCCTAAAAATAAATAAAAAATCCACAAAAATAAAGAAAGTGATTAGTTGGATTAAATTAGTTGAGTAGGATTTGTCAGTTGCTGCTTGTAAACACACAATTCAAAGTTGGACCCATGCAGTGAACGAGAGCAGTGGTCGTGGTCAAGCGACCTACAGGGTAAATGAAGAGAGGGAATAGGTGTTAAATGTTTCACAATAACAGTCACACTAACGTTTCCACAGTTTTCTCAGTTATCAGAGAATAATTAGTATACCATAATATTTTGGAGGCGATGCTAAGCCAACTCGGTGCACTGCAGCGGCGCACAATAATGAGCTAAATGTAGGACACGCAGAGATCAAACAGCTGCTTGTCTTTGTTCAGTTGATCAAGCAAGCTAATTTGCCAGTATATTCCAATTTACTGTTACATTACTGTCAGATGAAGGAAACTCAAGTGAGTTTCTCTCTACAGGCGGCTTCTTCCACTCCAGCATCATCCAGCAGAAGCTCATCACCCGCTTCGTTCCCTTCCTGCCGCTGAGCCGACGCCACGTGGAGCGCTGTGTACGCTCTCAGCTCTGCCAGCGGGGCAGCTGCGCCCGCAGTGACGTAGTGGAGGCAGTAGGGGCCGACATGATCTACACTCCCGTCCAGGGACAGTACTTCTCCTCTACCGGCTGCAAGGCTGTCCCCGCCAAAATCAACCTCTTCCTGTGAGTCATGGGACGAACTGTTTGTTGATATTTAAGGACTGAAAGGGAGACTCATTCTGAGGACAGTCGGTGACAAGATACAGATCTCTGAGTCTGTTTGAATCAGTTTCTCCCTCATGGAGGTCACAGCAGCATCTCTGGAGTAGGCAGGGATTCAGAGTCGGGGGGGGTGGCTGAACTCACTACCCCCATATTCAAAGCCATTTTTGTGCTGTCAGTGCTGAGTTTCTCTAAAGGCATCGCTGCTGGTGCAGTCGGTACACGTCCTATTGAGAGCACAGGAGAGTTTATTCCCTGAGCGTTATTCAGTGTCCAACCTGGAGTCCCGTCGCGCTCTACCTCAAACCCAATTCTGCCTTTTAATTTATGAACTTATGAAGTTGGTACATTTCACATTACAGTTGCTGTTGGTTTGCCATCAGCGGTCATCAATGAATTTGTTTTTAAGCCTATTTATCCAGTATTTATTTCCATAACACCAGCCTCTTTTCACATTCATACAGTCATACTATTCACTGCGGGAAGCTTCCCAGTCTGCCCACAGGTGTCCACAGCAGATCCTACCTGGAACAGCCAGAGCGTCTCTTTCCAGCCTCCTCTGTTAGCCCACTAACAGCAGTAGAAAGGAGCTCAGCCTCTTTTCTCACTGATGCAGATCATCTGTTTTGACGTAACAGTTTGTGAGTTTTACTAAAAGGGATCAGGAGTCTTATAAAACAAAGCTGCTAAGAGTTCCTGAATGCAGCAGTTAGAGAGGGAGTTGAAATTTTGTTTTGTACTTCTAAGATGTCCCCCAAACAATTGGTATCTTGATTATGATGCATTGTGGCTTTATTTTTTTTTTTTAAGAGGGTTGGGATGTGAACTCACTCAGCTTGTGTAAAAGTGAAAAAAAAAAAAACCTTTTAGAATAAAAAATACAAGGTTTTCACTTTGAGTGATTAGGATGTAAGTCCATGTAAGATGAGAAATATACCAGAGCTTTAAGAAAGGAATTTAGGGCAGGTGTTTTAGCTCATTCCATCATCAGTTTTGAACCAATAATTATAATAATATCTACCAATACAAGTCCTTTAATAAGAGCTAAGTTATCATCAAAATATCAACTCCCTCAATAAATGCATCTAATGACCTCTAAATAATCAGTATAACACATCATCCAAACTAAATACAGTATGTATTGAAATTGAACCATGTCTTATAGTATTTTTCTTCTCTGGAGACTGGACTTAAGGACTGAAGAGTACCATGTCTGTCATATCTGATGCAGAAGATGATGGAGATTTTACTTGAATATAGTATCGCTTTAGTGCTGTCCAACAGGGTTGATGTCATAGCTTTGAGTACATCATCATATCTGCCACCAGGTGGCACTAAAGGCTTCTTTTAGCCATGAGTGGAAGAGGTGAAGCAGAGTTCACCTATAGCTCTGTGCATTTTAATTCACTTCATCTCCTATGAGTGAGTTCAGTTAAAAATGATATTTGTTTCTTTAATGTAGAATGTCTTGCCTGTGTGTTTAAACACAATCAAAGTGCACTTTACCTTCATGGAGGATAAAATTAATCTGATTTATTATTGAGAAAAAACTTTGTCTCACTCTGTGAAGGCAAAGTGTGTGATGAGAAGTCAGTATGCACCTGCCCAAATGAATACTGTAGTTGCCATGAGTTTGAATTGTTTATGACTAATTAATGATTGTAACCCATTAATAATTTGTTGTATTAAATGACGGCTGCAGCAGAGAGTCAGACAATTAAAATGCAATGAAAATGATGCTTAATTGAATTGACAAGTGCAGTACTGTGCAGTGTTGGAGCAAAGACACATGGACATAGAAACAGACTGAATATTGACACACAATGCACAGTCTGAGATATACAGGCCTTCTATATTGTTCAGTCAGCGGTGTCAACATTTTCTAAATGAAACCATCAGTTTTTAGTTTAATTTCTCTCCTTCCAGTAAACAGAGAAGGTAGCCTGTAAACTTCCACCAGACTCAAGTGCAAGTATCACTTGTTTTTGGAATGTAGATTTAACTGTGTACAGAAGCCAGGCCGTGAGAGTATTAGTGGCAGACTTCTTACCCTGTCATAGTAAAAGATATGATCTCCCCTTCAAGATACAGCAATCATTATCAGAAGTTCCTGTTGGTTTTCTTTTTGAACACTTCTGGCCTCTTCCATAGGTTACCTGACCACTGAGTTTCCAGTTTCAGCCTCTGAAGTGCCTGGGTGTTGCTTACACTAAAGCCAAATGCAACTTCTGGTACTTCAGTGTGATGAAAAAATAAAAATTCCAATAGCAAACAAAACTGTTGTTCTGTTTTCTTTCTGATCCTTCAAGACGAATGCACTAAATAGACTATAACATGTTTCCGTCTATGTCGTAAAACTACACACTCATTTTGCATTTTCACAGTTGAAGCCCACAGAAAGTCTCTTTTGCCATTTAATAAGCAATACTGGACAAACACTGGATATCTTGCATTGTTCGCAGCACTGAATGTGTGTCACAGAGTGTAAGTGACACAACTGGGGAATATCGTCTTTATATGTAGGTCTCTACCAAGGAGCTAAATTAAACCCTTAAAGAAAGCTTGCATTGACATAATTACTGGTTACTTTGAATCTCATTTTATAAAGCTGTTGGGGAAAAGCTTCAGAGGGGGAGTAAGACTTGCCCTATTAGGGCTATCAAATTTAAAACATTAAGATTAATTTTAAAAAATCATTTAATGATCTGTTGTGGCCACAGTTAAGTGAAGTGTTCCATGAAAAAAGACGTGTTAAGAAAAATAAGATTTGAAAATAACACCAAAGTATTGATTGATTTCTATTGCCATCTTTATATATTCAACACTTCACTCATGTTCCACAATAATGTAATGTTTGAGGTAAGGTATCAGTGTTATATAAGCAGGGTTTACCAACCTTTTTTGCACCGTGAACCGTTTTTCCAATTGGGGTTTTATTGTGATTTCTGACTAAAATTAAAAGGTAATACAGACAGACCTTTCACTAACATCCAGGTAGTGGCCTCAGCTTCCATGTCAGGCTCCAAATTTCACTTTGCATAATTGTTGGAGGTGTGACAGAAAGTAATGAGTAGAAGTGCAACGCAGACAGTTTAAGGTAAAAAAAAAAAATTAAAAAAATCCTATAATAGCTTATGAAGTTACATAGTATTATTATTTTCCCCATCATATTGTTTCCCAGTGGCCCAGAAGCAAATGTTCTGAGGCCAGGTACCCCAGGGCTTGGGAAGCTCTGCTCGATAGCGTCACTAATGGCCAAAAACCAGTGGCCATTAATTTAAGAATAGGTGGAATATACACAAATCAGATTCAAGGTAAAAAAAAAAAAAAAAAAGTCATGGTGATCAAAACCAATGCTGTCATAAATCTCCAGTATCTCAGATCTTTTCTACAGGCATTTTATCAGAACTTAAAGGGGACATTGATTCCTGAAAACTGCTGAAGTACATGTTGTTTTTCTCCACCTGTCACTGATGGAGACTGAGTGGAGCTGCTGTTTGTCACCTTCTCTGAGCTCTGAACAGGAAGCAGAGGAGATGTGATCTCCCTGACAGAGACGTAGCTCCGCTATCTGCTTCAGCAGGAAATTAATAGTTTCTCCATCGGAAATGAACAGGTGTCAGAGGTCTTTAGCTCTCTCTCTCTCTCTCTCTCTCTCTCTCTCTCTCTCTCTCTCTCTCTCTCTCTCTCTCTCTCTCTCTGTGTGTTTATGTATGTGGACGTGTGTGAAGTCTACTTGGTCTGTGGGAACATTTTGGGTTGTGACAACATTTCAAGTGGTCTACACAGGAGAAAGATGATCTCAGAGTTTAAAAAATTTAATCTTCTCCTATTTAATAAAATGTCTGATTCATTCCTGGTCACCAATGATTGATCTGATTGAATAAATAAATACATGATTATTGTTAACAATAACACAATAAGTTAAAAACACTGTCTCCAGAGTCACAAAAGAATTATAGTTGTGTCTTGATTGGACAATCATTCTGACAGAGAAATGTTGTTTTGTGCAAGATTCAAAATTCAACAGCAATTCTTCGGCAAATTGTGTTTACCCAGTTGTTCTTTATATGAATCCATTTATGACCTGTCTATCATGTGAACAATATTCCATTCTGAGGTGACTGAGCCAACACATTGACAGACAGGGCAAGAGCACATTGATGAACTGAGCCCCAGAGTGCTGCTGGTGTGTGTGTATGCTTGTAGTAATGTCAGCAGCATCTGCCAAATAAATGTTATGTTGCATAGTTCTATCTTAAGTTATGCTACTGCCACTTAATGGTACATTGTTAGTTTGTGTTATTTTATACTTACGTTGCACAACTCATCTGCTACATGAATGTATTGTAATGTTACATAGCAGAATGTTACTTTATCTTACATGAAGTGTAGAGTAAGTGTAATAAGTGTAAAAAATGTACATTACACTAAGTGACTTTATACTCTTACGTTACATTACACAAAAGTGTTAGTCGAATGCAATATGTTACCTTCATAATACGTTACATTGCTTTTACATAAGTTAAGTTCTGTTAGTGTCTACTTGCTGATTAGGGTCTGGAGTTTTTCTTGATGGGAATTCCGACTCTATCATTTAGTACCACTTCTGGCTTTTATAATTCATCCAAATTTAGCAATGTTTTGACCTATGACTGGTATGTGTGCACATATATATCTAAATTATTCATGTAATTAATCCAAACCTTATAATTTCCAGAATACCATAATTTCATGTTTGGTATAAAACCCTTAAATATGGTAAGAACATCTAACACGTGTATTGTGCGTTTTATTTACACTGACCTATGTTTTGTATGTTGCCGACTGGTGCAACACACACAAGTCTCACCATGCTTGGGTCTTAATATTATTACCAAAGTGAGATGTTTCTGGGTCATATTTAACAAATACTGGATCATCCTGTTATTATCTTCTTCTATTATCTGTCTTTTTATTATTATTCAAAAAATAAATTGTCTCTCAGACGGGAGCCGGCTCCCATCATCCACTTAGTCTTTATATAAATTGTAAACTGTAGGTTTATATAAATTAAATCTTCGGTATACAGTATTTGTAGAAAAAAACTTCAACGTGCACTGGTTTGAGACATTTTGTTGGCTTAGAGGTTTAAGACGCTGACCATGTAATTGCAGCATCACAGGTTCATGCCCTTTCATGGACCCGTGTGGCTTATCATCCCTCCTCTGGTTGCTGTGTTTAATAAAGGCACAAAAAAAAGCTCCCCTCCCAAACACACTGGTTTGCTCCTTTAAAATTAAAGCTTGTCGCTCAACATCAACAAACACCTTTAAAGTCACTGCCAAACTTCACCAGCTGCTTTGACTTTGAGTTTTCTCAGCCAACTCTGTTTCTTTGTTGGCGTCCAAATTTCGACTTGCTACCTGCTGCATGTGACCAACCTCCCAACATTTTGGAAACATCTCCTCATCCTCTGACGACACCCTGTCGCCTCCTATATATGCCACATCTTGGCGCAATCCTGCCGTGATGACTTCATTAACCCCCCACCCTCCAACCCACCCACCACCACCACACAAGCGGTGTGAGGAAGAGGAGGGGTTCGAAGGTCAGCTTAGAGGCCTCTTCACCCCAGCTGCTGTATCGCCATCTCCATCCTTCTGGACAATGAGACACACACATACATAATAATGCCACGATGACCACCACACACACACACACACACACACATACATACTCACACACACACCTCTTATGACCTCTGAGCCTGTTTTCACACGCTCCCTGCAGAACAGCTGGACTCTCTTTTTGACTATTGGAGCGAGCGAGAGAGGATATTTGAAAGTGGGGAGAGAGAGGGAAGATAGCAGGAAGAGGAGCCGGTCCAGCTGTCTACTCTATTTTCTTCTTTCCTTTCCCCTTCTTCTTCTCCTCTAGTTTCCCCCCCATCTTTCCCTTTTCCTCTTCCTTCCCCTTCTCTCTCCCTCTTTCCTCCCCTCTCCTCCCCCATCACAAATCGGGTGTAAAAAAACACTTTCGCCTCCTACTTTACCTCCTCACCCCTTCCCAGCCCTCGCTTCTTCCTCCCCTCCATCGGGGGTGCGGGGCAACAATGGGACGCTGCTCCTTACTCCCCCCTGCCCTCCCCACCCACCTCCACATCTGTGAGTGCCCCTCTGTCTCCTCATTCTTCTCCCTAACCGCTCCATTATTGGGCCTCTTTCACTTGTAAATGTGGCCAGCGATACTTCTGATGGGTCTTTTATGCATGCGGCCGGGGTCAGGAGAAAGGTAGGGGCAGGAGAGGAGGGGGGGATGTATACAATGAGGGGGTGGGTCAGGGTTGAGGGTGTTGAGGGGAGGGGGGCGGTTGGTTTAGGGAGTCTTGTGCTGTTTCTTCTTGCAGGCCAGAGTGTGAGGGGACAATTGTGACAAAGAGTTAAATCCTTTTTTGTGTGTGCAGTCATTTGGGACGGTTGGGACGGGCCCAGCTCTCACCTCGCATTCCGGCAGCCGACCGTCCCCCCGCAGGATGGACAGAACGGGACGGGGCTGAGGTGGAGAGACGACTGGAGTGAAATCTCAACAGTCAGAAGTTGTGTACGCACCCCAGAAGGAGGATGTGTCATTTTTTTTAAACAAATGAGTGTGTTCAGAGGCCCTTACAGTAGCATAGCATAAGAGAGCATAATGCTGCACTCTATAGCATGCAACACTGAGGCCTCATGACGACAGGTGCTCCATCAATATGTTGATGGTTTTTGTATGTTTTATGGTCATATGAGTGTAATAATAAGCAACCCTGTCTCCTAAACAAAAATAAAACAATGCTAGCGGCTCTGTGAAGCTGCTTAAACTACAGCAAATTCTAACATCGGCATGCTAACATGCTCACAACAGCAACACTAACAGTCTGATGTTTAGCAAGTCATTTTTTAGCAAGGACTTTGACACCAAAGAAGAAAACTGGGGCCTCAATACTGGGCTCAACTCAAATTCTTATTTTATACAACATCTGCACATGGTAACTATGGCATTATTAGGGTCAAAAACCGGTGGGCCATGTGTGGTTAGGTTTAGGCTCCAAAGTCAGTTGGTGAAGGAAAGATTATGGTTACATTTTGAAAAAAAGCATCAAGTCACTGTTGAAATCTCTTCTTCTGACCTTAACCAAGTGTTCTAAGTTGCCTAAACAGAAGCAAAAACATTAATCATACTTTATGAATGAAAATTGAAAAGTTTGGTTTTGCAGGTAAGGGACAATCGCGATGAATTAAAACAAGTTTGTGTCAGTA